ATGTCATGCTTAATGGAAGTAGCAAGGAAAAACAGTCTTCTGTCTGCATCTAACATGTTGAAGTGGGTACTTCACCTCAAACTTGGCCTTCCAAGACCCTCCCCTATATATGTCCACAAGGCCTTCCTAGGGACCCACATGGACACTCCCCAGAATCAAGACGCACATTCCAGGAGACTTCGGCTCCACAGGGACCAGATGCCCAGAGCTCCTTTCTTTTGTTCAGTGGGTACAACAGCCCAGGCTGCTCATTTGTTTCTAACTAGAAATAAAAGCATGTTTTGGTAAGCTTGATGACATCACTAAATATCTGCTCTTTGCTCTTGCAGTGTTTTTCCTCTCACTTGAACAATGAAGAGGTGATGCCTGCTTATCCTTAAGCTAGCTTTCCTCTTCTCTCCCTCAGAAACCAAGAAGGTATCCCTTTCTCAGAAGAAGGTGGTTGAGATTAGCTTGACTCTCAGTAGAGAATGGAAGTCAATTTTGCATCTGCAGATAGCAGGAGCCCCGTGTGGTCTCTCACGTGAGAAAATGGCTGTTCATGTCTCTTTCTTCCAGGGAAAGAAGTGCCTAACTTTCTGCTCTTTGTGTTGATTCCTATGTTCACCCTTCCCTTCGTCCCCCTCTACAGTAGACCTCCTCCTTTATGTTTGGGTGCTGCATGGCTTGTTGGCCTGGCTGACATTTATAGTCATTCCTGCAGCATGTGTCAGGGAAACGCAGCTCAAGTTACAATAGTGGTTTTTACCATTGCATTCAACAGGGTGAGCAGTTGTATGTGCCACAGATCCTCTCCATGGCTGATTTGAAAAGGAGATAAAAACAAGCACAGTTTAAACCTGGATATAAAGCATAGATTATAGATGTAACACTGTCATCAAAAACTGGGCATGAGAGGATAAACCCAGTGTGGACAGCATCAAGGTCTACTAGAAGGAGATTTGTAAAGGATGGAGACATGGCGTGGATTCAACCATCACTCACATGGAGGGTGATGCTTTCTCCTAGAAACCTCTTACACGTTCCTCTAAAGGACTGTTCTGCCATAGAACTCTCCTAGTCTCAATGCTACTTGTCTGAGAAATCTCACCTACACACCTACTCCCATGAACTGATAACTAAGAATTATAGAAAAGGCGAGTTGTTGTTCTTCAGTGCAGACCTCTCTCTCCCTCCAAGTTTGTAGCTGACTTTTTCCTCATGGTTGACCTCAAGGCAGCGTCACTCAAGTGATCTAATGTGAATTCACCATCTCGCCTCAAATCTGCTGATCCCCTTGTGTTTGCCGTCTCACCAAGCCCAGACCTTCATCTTTCTCACTCTCTGCTCGTTCCTGATCTTTCAAATACCATCAGTTTACATCTTTTCCTTCTCTTCTGCTCCCTCTCCAAAGTCATCTTCATGGTGTTCCTGAACTCACATCTTGGCCTTCTGTCTCACTGTCCTGTCCAACCTTTCTAATGACAACCATCATGTTTCTAACGTACTTAGCTGCTACCGCTCAGATTTCAACAGCCATTCATCATCCACAGGATAATGTCTACTGTCCTTGTGTTTACACATTCCCTATCTCGGTCACCTGATTGCCCTGCCTGTGTCCCACCTTGTCTTTAGCCATTCTCTACCACAAGCATTTGTTCTACCTTGGATGCTCTCTTGCCTCTGTCCTTGTCTGCTGGTCTTGCTTCCTCTGATTGTTTCCTTGGGAGTCCCAAGTTGCTGTTATTCTAAGCAGCAAATTGCAAAGAACTCTTCTTCACTTCCTAGGACCTGGTCCTAGAACTGGAGCTGTATTCTGTACTTGTACGACAGCTATTATAATTGTTTTTGTATGTGTCAGCTGTGCTGTCTAGATGAAAAGTTCCTTGATAAAAAAGACATATTTTCACAGAGCTTGACCCTTATCAAAGTCATTTGGTAAATGTTGAGTTAGCATATTTCAGCATTCCCAAACCTGACAAGGAATTCAGCCTAGCATATAGCAGAGGGCATCTTTCTCTTTTTCACACTGAATCATTTGGGCCCTCCATTGATATGTTCAATAGGAGCAACCCAGATGAAACTAAACAGCCATGCACCAGTCTGAGGCGGGGTCCCTGAAGGGTCACTGTCCTCATTCACTTATCACCTTCTCTGGGAAACAGCTCTGCTTTTCCCTTTTGCCTGTGTCTTCCAACCATAGCCACAGGTTCCCATATTGAAAAATGAAGGTCTGAGGTTAGAATAGCATTTGGTTTTTTGTTTTTTTGTTTTTACCATTGCATCCAACAGAGTGGCACGTGGACCTTGAGGGAGTACCTGAGCTTTGAGTTCAAGTTCTCTCAGTCTTACAGAATTTAGCACCTGAATTATTGGAATTTCTGCCTTTGGGGAATGAAATGATCAAGGTTCTCAGTTCTCTGGTTCATGGAGTTTTGTTTTGATTCCTGTTAAGGAAGGGTGCCTCACCAACCAGGGAGAAAAAAGTTGGTAGGCAATTTTTTTTAAGAACTAGGATTTTGGGATCATTGGTTGCCACTGTAGAAAGGCAAGGTGTTTGGGTACGTAACATTGAGCTGAGCACTAAGACATCTGTACAACAGTGTCATTGTGTGCCTTCCCCAGGAACATAAAGTCACAGAAATTTATATTTCCCAATAGTGTATTCAGAAATAACTCTCAAGAAGCCTAATTTATCCTGTTTTGAAGTCCTATAAGGGCCTTTTTTCAAGAAAATGATTCCCAATGACCTGCATTTTGACTAAATGAGACAGACTTTTCTATGCATCTATCCAGAATTCCAGTTGTCAAACTGAGCCTTGCCACATAAGACTTGTCCCTCACATGTCTGGCTCTTAAGAGACTCATTTGTTACCTTGATATATAGCATCTGGTTGCAACATGATTTAATAGCTGATTTGGTAGGATTTTCTTTGTCTTATCATCAGTGGATTTTGTGTGGCTCTTCAGTAGGGCACCTGGTCCAGATTTGGTTCATGGGATGATGGTACACTTTTTCTGTGGGGAATTGTGCCTTAGTGTGGCATTGAGCTACCCAAACATCTCTGAATCATAAAGGTGGCAGTGTTTGAGCAGCAGCTTAGACATTTTCCAAGATGTGAATAAAAACCATGAAACCTGGTGACAAAGTGGTAACATGTGGTTGAACTGAAAGCTGGAGTGAAGGTTATGCCTGTCCCCATCTGCAAAAGCATTAGCATTGTTTCAAGAGAAACAGAAATATGGGAGAGAATGAAGTCAGATAAAATAGCTTCAGGATGACATATCAGGGAAAGCACTAGATTCCTGAGCTGCAAAGTCCTGGATGCTTCATCTAATGTAGTTTAAGCTGAGGAGGATATAAGGGGTTACTACTATGTTCATGAGGAAGCTTTGTCTGTGTTTGGTTAATGTTGGTGTCAGGAGATGGACTCCCTCTTGTCACAGTAAATTGAAGGGTTTCCAAGCATAGAATGCAGTCTTTTATAGCCTGAGATAACTGAGTGTGATCTTAAAATGCCATTGGATGTTCTTTTCTGGGGAATTCTCAGAAATGTTCCTCATTGGCCTTCGTATTACTGCAGATGAAAAAGTACCCTCAGCAGGCCAACCATTGCTCCCTCTGTCTCTGAGTTTTAGGAGACTATCCCCCAGCCACATTCCCTGACCGAGCAGACGAAGCCTGATTTCAGAGTTGTCTCAGCATCTTTCATCAACCCTAGTTACCTCCTCTAAGTATTGAAGAATTGGAAGGTTTTCACTTATGTTGGAATGTGTATGGTTCATCAGTATCTCAGAATAAAGAACTCAGCAATCAGTTGTACAGAATCTAGTGATCAACTTCATAGAAAACACAAATGGTACTTAACAGACCTGCTTATTCAGCCCTACCACTGATGAGCTATTTGGGCCTTATCTTAAGAAAGTTGGTTCAATGTAGGAAAGAACTGGGACTCAGAAGGCTGGAGTTCTAGTTTCTATCCCATGACATACTTGCTCTGTGATTTAGGCTTGATGGCTTAATATTGCCATAAAACAAGCCAGAAGTAGGGGAATATGATTCTGGAAACTTTTCAAAGGTCAGCTCAACAACTTTTGATTTAAAGGACCTCGGGAAAATGCTTTTGTTTTGTTTGTAATGAGCAAGGTAATAATCCTGTGGATATTCTATACAGAAATTGTTGTTCTTCACTCTGGAATCTCAAACTGAGGGCTTATTTCTGATGGACTTTGGAATTTGTACTATCCTGTGGTCTAGCCAATCGTTAGACCTTTCAAGATGTGGTGTGTTATTTGGTTGGCATTCAAGGAAGAAATCAAAGCTATGTCTAGACACATTCTATGGCTTGGGGAATGAACAGCAGGCATCCCACAAAAGTGATGATGTTGGGTCCTCGAATGCCCCTTATCCCATTGGATCTAGGGGAGCAAAAGGGAAGGAGTCAAGCTATGAATTACAACAACTCTATTTGTAGGTACAACTGTTGCTTGCCTCTGTGGAATTACTGAAACACGTAGATAAAGGCATTTTCCCTCCAAGGAAAGTATCCAGAGAGTGTAAACTCACTGTGTCTAGTTTTAACTTTCTAGATCAGGTCTTTTCCAAGTCAGCAGTGAAGTGGGCCGGCTAGTGATGATTTCTTACCATGGTTTTGGTCATGAACCCTTTTGTTAATCTTCAGGGAGCTATGGATGCTTCTCTTCCCAGCAAATTACTCACATGTTTATAAATTGGGTGTGGAGGGGGATAATTCTGGAGGATTCCCTGTAGCCTATGGACCCTGAGTGAGCAGTTCATAGTCTAGAGTAGAATCATAGAGACCATTACTGAGAATGGCAGGGCTAGCCAGAAACTTGTGGCCCATAATTTGCTGCCAGAATTAAGCAAGTAATAACATAAAGGTGTTTTTTTTTTCTTTTTTTCCTCTGAACATCGCTGCTGCTTCCTGTTCCCGCATCTTTCGTCACCTCTCTCGTTCCTCCCATCTCCCTCCCCATCTCTTGCACATCTTACACTACAGATGTTCCAGCCTGGTTAAAAAGCCTCCGCCTGCACAAGTACGCTGCGCTTTTCTCCCAGATGACCTATGAGGAAATGATGGCCCTCACTGAGTGCCAGCTGGAGGCTCAGGTATGTGCTTAAGGGGACCATTCCCAGAGAGGGTGACGTTCAATCATGTTGGGACCCATGCCATGGAATTTCCAGATGCTAATTCACATCCCACATAAATTGTAAGACAGGGCTCTTCCCTGCAGAGTCCAATAGGAAGTGGTAGGAAGACCCTGGACAGCAAGGCCTACCAGAAGTCCAAGTGGCCTGTAGCCTCAGGTGGCACCCAGGAAGTTTATTGGAATTGGAGCTGAGTTTTAAGAGGACAGATTGCAGAGATGGGAAGAGGGTGGAATTAGGGAAGGGACCATTCCACCTGGTCACATACTAGCTATCTCCTAAATGGAGATCAGCAGAAGCATCAGGTCGTGCTTCAGACAAACCCCAAGGCTTTTTCCAAAATCCCTCAGGCTGGACTGAATGGAGATTGGAATAAACAGTTCACAGTATTTATTTATTCTAGCCTCCTGGAAGAGCATGAGATGATGATTAAGAATGAGATTTCCCAGGTCTCAGATTTCATTTTCCTTCTACATGTTACAAACGGACAAAGGTCCTCTTCCTTCTTGGGCATCTTTCTCCAAGCGTGGATGCCAAAGGCCAGTCAACAGTACCCCTGAAATGAAGCATGACTCCTTCCATGCTGTGCTCCAGTCAATAGACCTCTGACCCATGCCTTTGTTTCCCTTGTTTAAAATGCTATTTGCATGTTTCAACTGACTCAGTTTCCTTTGAGCAATGATTTTAAAGAATTGATGGTCTACAGCAGCCAATACTATTTCCCCTTGAGGAAGCATGGCTGGTTAGGATGTGTACCTCCCCATAGACCTCTGGCTTCCCATTGCTTTTCCAAGACCCTCAGTTAACCTCTGCAGGCTAGGCTGAATACCAGTATTGAGAGCAAGACAAAGCCTAAAGTCACTGCACAATCTCAGAGAATGAAAGGCACTAAGAACCACTTCCTAATATTTCTCCCACCACATTTTGAATCTCTACCACTCCCTGATATCCCAGGGGTCGATGAGAAACATTTCTAAGAGCATTTTTGTGTTTGGGTCAGGGTTGAGGGGAAAAAACCTTAAATCCATCACTTGTTCAACTTAATAAGAAACAAAAAAGAAAGAAGGAAATGGCAGAGGGTAAAGTCAGAACTTGGCAAAATCTTCTCAGCGTTATTTACTTCATTTGAACCCGAAGTTGAAGCTAAACAGACATTTATTTTTATTAAAGACCTGATTAGAAGGGGAGGGGGAAAGGCCCTCAACTGGGAAATTTGCTGGGTCTCTAACAACCCATATCTAGCAAAATCCCTAGGCTACCACTCTACACAATGAAAATCAACCCCAGATCTGCAAATCCTAAAGTCTACCTGGAGGGATGAGTGAATTATAGATTCTTTTCAACTATGTTTGCTTTTTTAATGGCTGCAAACTAAAAAAAATATTCCTTGTTGATGGTACTCCATGTGGACCACACTGGGTTTCCCCACCCCTTCAAGATGGGCAAATGGGAAAAGTGCGAATATCACGAGGATCTGATGGGTTCAGGACCTTCAGGGGAACTTGGGAGAAAGGAGTATCTGACTTAAATATTGTCTTTTAAGACTTTGAGGAAATCTTGTGGTGAGGGGGAAAACTGGCTACCCTGTGTCTCTCTGTCCTAAATGTATAGCCGGATGGAGTTATAGAATATTTAGGAAGAAGAGGTTTGTGAAAGTCCTCACTGACTTTGCACATTGACTGACTGTATGCTCTTTGAGAGAGTTTCTAAGCTAATTCTTAAGCATACCTTCATGTATTAAATTTACAGAACGTTACCAAAGGTGCAAGACACAAAATTGTCATCAGTATTCAGAAGCTCAAAGAAAGACAGAACCTCCTGAAGTCTTTGGAAAGGGTAAGTTCACAGCGCATAAGGGAACCTTTGTCATGCGGAGACAGACTAAGGAAAATCTCCAGGTGAGAGTATTGTAGCAGGCTTCCGAGAGCGGGTATTGTGGACTTGCCTTACCAAAGCCTGGACAGGAGCAATCATTATAAAGTGGGGCTTCTAGGATATCCTGGTACAGAACGAAACTTACCCGTGGGGTCCCGGCTAGCTGTGATGAGATCTGATTTTGAGAAAAGCTGTGTCCTGGGAATGGCAAACACCTATCTACCTCAGCTTCCACGGCTGGGGTGGAAAGCATTGGGCAGGCAGACATGGTTGTGCTAAGAATAACTTCAGACTTTAACTTCACAGAATGAATCCCCTAGACTCAGCTAGGAAACACCTTAAAAGTGTGAAGTGCTGCAAAAACTTGATTCTGACATTAAAAACTGGTTAAATCGGCTGCACACTACCCTTTTGTTTAACTGCCTGCACAGATTCTTGTCTCATCGTGTGTCTGGCTGTCATCCTGGTTACTGTGTCATGATGACAATATGATTTCATCTTCAGTCCTAAGGCCATACCTCTGTCACTAGGGCTGTGTGTGCTTCTTGGGCACCAGTGTGGGGAGAGAAATTGAGTGGGTATTCGTGGCCTGCAAAGTATAAGTGGTAATGTGTTCTTAGGAATCCCAGGAAACCTTTGGGAGGGAACAAACTATTGATCTTGACAGGCCTAAAGTAAGCTTGGTCTGGACTGAGTAATGGCTCAAGTGATAGAGTACCTGCATAGCAAATCTGAGGCCCTGAGTTCAAACCTAATACATCTCCCTTCCCCCCAATTTTTGCTGTCTAATACAGCATTTATTCATGTATTTTTGGCCACACTAGAGCTTGAACAGAGGGCCTTATAGTTGCTAGGCCAGTGTTGTAACTCTTGAACCATACCTTCAGCCCATTCTTTGCTGGTTATTTTTTGAGATAGGGTCTTGCGAACTTTTCTGTCTGGTCCTGGCCTCATACCACAACCCTCTTGCTCTCAACCTCCCAAGTAGCTAGGATTACAGAGTGAGCCACTAGCACCAGGTTCTGAAGCAAATATTTTATTTATTTGTGTGTTTGTTTATTGTCAGTCATGGGGCTTGAACTCAGGGCCTGGGCACTGTCCCTGAGCTTTTTCAATCAAGGCTAGTGCTCTACCACCAATGCCACTGGTGGTTAATTAGAGATAAGGTTCTCACGGACTTAACTGCCTGGGCTGGCTTTGACCAGCAATCCTCAGATCTCAGCCGGCAGAGTAGCTAGGAATACAGGCATGATCCACCAGCACCTAGCTTTTGAAGCAAGCATTTTGATGGAATGGGAAATATTTTAACTTATTCAAAGAGATGTGTGTGTGTAATTTTATATGCACTATGTAGTTATTTTTAATGTGTATCACATAGTATGTTACATATTTAGAGAATATATACATAAGACCTTATAAGGAGAGTTTCTTTCAGATCCTCTGGATGCATAGACAGGTAGGGGAGTCCACTTGTGTGCATATCTGTGATTAAAGGTATGCTCTTAATTCAAGTGAATTACAGATTACAAGTGAGCTTTCCAACTGAACAGAGATTTTGGCATTCTCAGTTTTATGCTAACTCCTTGCAAGCAGCTTGCCTAACAGAGTGATTATTGCCATTTTTAATCTAGGGAACTGTTCTCTTTTGGAGAATATGCAAAAGGCCAATTTACTCTTTGTCTATTTGAAAGTAGAGAAAACATTTTGCATGAGGATTAGATTGCTAAGCTTTATGGTAAAAGAAAGATTTTCCTTCTCTCATTTCTGGAACATCCTTCAGGACTTCATTCATATCCTCTATCACTGAGGAGCACACCCCACCAGAAACAGAAATGTGGAATTATTCCCTGCAGCCTGGAACTAACATCACCAGCTGGACACCAGGGCAGCTAGGTAGACTTTCCATCTAGCCTTTGATGTGTCAGCAATGCTCTGTGTCCTAGACTTCACAAAATCCTTTCTTCCCTGATACCCTGGAATGGGAAAATTTTAAAGATGCCAAATGTATGGTGGCTGCTAATGTCCAAAAAGCAAAGCAGTAGTGAGTCAATTGGATTTTACTTTTTGGAGAAAGGGGAAAGCTGTGCCTGTCAGATGACCAGGGTGAGCTGACTACAAAACAAGAGAATATTCTGTCACCCTGCTCTGTCTCTTTAGCAACAAATGACCTATAGATGGTGAATGCCTCTAGCATTCTTACCTCACACATCTAAGGAGATGGCTGGGACCCCACCCACTGTTAGATCATAATCAGCAAGAGCTGCAGAGGAGCTCTCTGTGCAGAGCTCTTCCATTCAGTTACTGCACACTCACAAAGCAACTGTTCAGATTCGCTCTGCCCTGTCCTCTGTAGGCTCACCGTAAGTGGTATGTAGACCCTGCCCGAGGGCAACTTAGGGCATGGCCCGGGGCAGACAGATGTGGTAGCTGATGATCTCACAATCCAGAGGCAGCTGGGAGAATTTTCCTGAGGTGAACAGCCCATTGAATGTGGACCCTCATTGAAGTGAGGTAGGAGTCCCTTAGAGGAGCCAGGGGCTGATGGGAAACAGAGCAAGTTTTGATAGGATCTTGAACAAAACAGGGACCATTAGGACAGAGAAGGAGGAGAAAGATCACTTCAAGGAAACCCAGTGGTTCCGGAGGCATAGGCTTAGATGGTGTGTCATCTGGGAACAGAAACATAGAAGGAACTACTAGAGTAGAAGAAAAGTAGTTCAGTTGCTTGATTTTGAGATCCCTATGGGACACCCAGGTGGAGTTGGCAAATAGATGGACAGAAAGGAAGGTATGGAGTCCAGGACCCAGTTGGGTTGGAAAGAAGGACTCAGCTCTGGGCCAGCTGTGTGTGTGATTGCTGGTGGGTACCCAGAAAGTGTGTGGAGAGTGATGACCACCTGAGGACAGGGACAGATAAGAAAGGACCATCTATTTGGTTTTGTTTGTTTTTGTTGTTGTTGTTGTTGGTGGTGGTGGTGGTGGTGGTGGTGGTGGTGGTGGTGGTGGTCGTGGGGCTTGAACTCTGGGCCTGGGCACTGTCCCTCAGCTCTTCAGCTCAAGGAAGGGATGGTAGGGGAAAAACAAAGGAGGAAGTAACCATGCTCGATAGGAAATGTACTCATTACTTTACTCTTATAACTGTAACCCTTCTGTGCACTATTTTTACAATAAAAACAAAAACAAAAAAGAAAGGACCATGTAATGACTGAGTCCTGCAGAGGATCTCTTCCCATCAGGCACATGGAAGTGTCACCTACAGTGGAGACTACACTGGACTTGGCAATCTGCTGGTCACAGCAGCCAGAATGGGGAAAATGTTTTTGGAGAATAGAAGAGGACAAGAAGCCAGGAGTGTGAAGGATGGGGGTAGGGGCATGGGGCTATAGGCTGCTCCAGCTGTTTGGTAGGAAAGAGAAGGTGGCAGCAATTACTGGAGTAGATTTACATTTAACAAGAAAAGGTTGGCCTGGGAAGGTGGCTCAGTGGTAGAGCACTTACCTTGCATACATGAGGCCCTGGGTTCGATTCCTCAGCACCACATAAGCAAAAAGAAAAAAGCTGGAAGTGGCGCTGTGGCTCAAGTGGTAGAGCGCTAGCCTTGAGCTGAAGAGCTGGGGGATAGCACCCAGGCCCAGAGGTCAGGCCCCATGACCAGACCCAAAAAAAAAGGTCACTGTGTGCTTTTAGGTATATTATCAAGTGGCTCCCAAATAATAAAACAGAACTATTTTCTAAACCTGGTATGGACACACACACACACACACACACACACACACACACACACACACACATGAATGTATACATACCTCCTATTTGATTTATTTCCACTTAGAGGAAATATTTTCACTTTGATTTATTTCCACTTAATGTGGAAGTCCATATCTTTTCTTCAGACACATCTAAATCTTAGTCACTTGAGGCTACATCTGAGACTGTTTTTATCTACTATCACAGAAAAGTGGGAGTTATATTTAACAGTGTTTAGTAATACTTTCATTGTGATAATAATGCTTTATACTAATAAGGCCCATTTGATACTTGCAAAAAAATTATACATATGCTAACACTTCTGGCCCTGATCTGCTAAGACAGGCCAGACAGCTGAGGCTGAGTCTTTCAGAGAGAAAGAAACTCAGGTGGGTCCAAACTCCTTAGCAAGTTGCTTCCTGATCAGCCTTGGAACAGCTCTCCAGCTTCATCTCTGGGTCATCTTGCCTCATCCTGTCTGTTCTCCTGCTTGTTGTTTGCAGTCAGGAACCTCTCTTCTCTGCTCCCCCGGCTCCCTGCCCCAACACCGTCATAACATGTGGATCTCAGGAAGTGTAAGCCTCTTTGAGGAGAACTCAATATTCCCAATGCAAATGATCAATGCCTGCTGCCTTTGGCAGCTGATTGGTAAATGGAAGGGGAGAGAGAGGATTTATTTCATTCATTCATTTTATTTCTTTCTTAATTTTGTGCCAGTTCTGGGCTTGAACTCGGGCCTCGGGGCTCTCCTTGAACTTCTTTTGATCAAAACTAGTATTCTACCACTTAAGTCACAGCGTTTGACAAGTAGTTTATTGGAGATATTTTTATTGAGTAGTTATTTTGAGTAGATATTTTTATTGAGTAGTTTATTGGAGACTTTTCTGCCCGTGTTGGCTTCGAACCATGATCCTCAGATCTCTGTCTCTGGAGCAGCTAGGATTACAGGTGTGAGCCACCAGTGCCCAGCAGAGAGTGGATTTAAGTACACTCCTGACTATTAAGTCAGAAGTCCTAATTGTTCTCCCACAAAGGAAGAATGGGGCCTGAGGGACATGTCACACAAAGTGCTGGGAACACCATGCCTGCCCAAAGCTCTCTTTCCAGATGGTTCAGGCTTTGTGATTATCATACCCCTCCCCTTCTCAAAGGCACTGAACCAAATTCCTCCAAGTCCTAAAAGTCCAGGGCTGGACCAGGCTGGCTGGACAGTCATTTCCTTCCTGCTTGTCCACTGAGCTATCCCTGTACCGTTGCTGAGGATTTCCTGTTATCTGCTTCCAAATGGGCTCCTTGTTCGGCAGCCTTGAATCTGCACATTGCTTACTGGACAGCTTCATTTTGCCTCTTTGTGTTTATAATGTAGGAATTATATTTTTTGCCATGAAGGATCAATAGAGACTTGTCAACGTGGAGAATTAATTCCCACAGCCAGTGGAGAATGCTAGATGGACTTCCATTTGGACCATCTCCCTGTGTGCTTCTGAATGTGAGCATGGAGTAGTGAAATTCCTTTAAGAGGCAGGAATGTAATCTGGTGGTCACGGCGCTGCTTCATGCTGCTGGCATAGGCAGCAGTCTGGCTAACTGGCCGTAAGCCAGGTTTTTGGTGACAATGGCTTGAAGTCTAAGAAGAACAAAATGGTGCATGATCCCAGGAAGTTATATGTTATATTAAGCTTCAAACATTATTCATTATGTTTATGGATTTTTTATAGTGACTCCCAATATAAGACTGATAAGATTTGGACTTAGGGCATATATATACCCTAAGGTATGTGTATGTGTGTGTGTGTATATGTGTGTATGTATATACATGTATATATATATATGTATATATGTATGTATGTATCTAATATTCCTGGCTGAATTCATTCTCCTTCCTTCACCATGAACTAGAGAACCTTCATGCCATGAGGAGGGAGCCAGCGAGGGGTTGGTGGCTGTTGATGGGGTCTTGAGCATGCCTTGTTCACCTGAGAGATGGTGGCCACATAGAAGGGCATGGAAAACAGCATGGGACCCCCACCCCCACCCAAGCCTTGGCTATCTGTCGCCCTCCCCCCTACAATCACACACCTATCTTCAGGTGTGGGCTAGACAGGCAATGAGCGCCCTTCAAAGCCCAGGGGCTGCAGGAGGCAGGCAGTTGGTGATGCCCACATCACCAGGCCCAAGGTGAAGTTGACTAGCCACACACTGGTGTCCAGACTCTGGGAAAGGCTAGTCCCTGGGTAGCAGGGACACTGCGGATGAGGAGCAATGTGTGCTAATTCTCCCTGGGCTGGAGGCTGCCCTGCCACCGAGACTGTCCACAATCAGAAGGAAGCCCTTCTGAGATTGTCTGCTAAGTGGCAAATGAATATCTTGCTCAGCATGTTGGTTCCCTCCTATCATCCCAGCACTCAGGAGGTTAAGGCATCTGAATCACAAGTTCAAGGCCAGCTGGGGGCTATGTAGCAAAATCTGTCTCCAGAGAATTTTTAACAAGCCAGGGAAAAGGGGCTTTCTCTCTATAACATAGGCAGATATTAGGAGGATCCTGATTTGAGACCAGCCCTGGCAAAAAGTTATTGAGATTTCCCATCTCGTTAAGAACACCTGTCATCCCAGCTATGTGGGAAAAGTAAATAGAAAGACTGCAGTGTAGGCAGCCTAACAAAATCCTAAAGACCCTATGTGAAAAATAAAGCAAAAAGAGTGGAGGGGTATAACTCAAGTGGTAGAGCACCTGTCTCTCAATGATCAGTCATCAGTTATCAATACGGTCAAATGGGGGTGGGGGGGGAAGTCTTGTTACAAGAGGATCCTAGGAATGGTTTACACCTGCACATCAGTCAAGCTCTTAAAATTCTGTCCGCACTGTTCCAGAGGGGTCCATCCTTCACTGGTACCAGGACCCTGATGAGCAGTGTCAGGTCTGAGTTCAGGAAGAGCATGGTTGCAAATGCATTGGGAGCCACATTTGTGGCAGGGGCCTGACCCACCACTGTACCGGGGAGGAGCTGGCCCCCAGCCCCCAGCTACAGGTACCTGGACAAGTGCAATCCCATCAGAATCCACTCTCATTCCCTTTGTCAGTGAGTAGTATCCAGCATAACAAATTGAATGTGCTATAAGGATCGTTTTAGTAGACAACACATGAAGTCACATGCTACCATTATGCATCCACAAATCCTCCTTCTGAAGCAGCTCTCCTCTGCTGAAAACTTGCCTGGTTAGAATAAATTCTAACACCTTACCTTAGCCCACAGGTCTGCGGGGGCGGAGGTGGGGCGGGAGGTGGAAGAGGAGCCCCAAGAATCCCATTTCCCACCCTCTGTTCTCACCTACCTTGCTCTACCCTGCCTGCCTCTCAGCTACACATAACTTGCTCCTACCATAGGGCTTTTGCATGCCCTGTGCCTGGAGCACTCCTTCCCAGGGTCCTATTACAGTGCCCCTCCCTCCAGAAGCTGCCCTTCCCACCAACCTGCCCACACCCCACATTGCCACCCTCTCCCATGCTTAGCACAGAGCTCAGTACATGGAAACCTCCAACACATATTTCTTAACTTCACTAAGAAGCATGCAGCATGGTGACAGACTCCTCTGAGGCTTTACAGATACTGACATCACAATTGCTCAGTGAGACAACTACTCTCATTTGGTGTACAGGGAAACTGAGGACAAAGAGGTTAACTCATTTGCCTAAGGTCACACAGCACTGCAAGGATTCAAACCTGAGCATCTGCTTCGAGAATCTGTGCTTTTTCTTTCTCTCTCTTTTGTGTGTGTGTGTGTGTGTGTGTGTGTGTGTGTGTGTGTGTGTGCGCGCGCGTGCGCGCACGCTCATCCTGGGACTTGAAACTCAGAGCCTGAGTTTTTTTTTGCTCAAGGCTGAGCCACAGCTTCACTTCTGGCTTTTTGGTGATTAATTGGAGGTAAGTTTCATATACTTTTCTGCCCAGGCCAACTTTGAACTGCAATCCTCAGCTCTCACTCTCCTGAGTGGCTAGGATCACAAGCGTGAGCCACGGGCACCCAGCTACATTCTGTGCTTATTAATCACGCCCCTGTGCTTCTGTGTCATGGGCCAGGTGAAAGTGTACAGGAACAGATTCCTGTGCCTCAAACAAGTCCTGCCCTGGACCCACCAGCTTCATTATACAATGTCAGATAAAACATGCAGCCGGATGTGGTGGTGCCTCTCTGTAATCCCAGCTACCCAGGAGGCTCAGAGAGGAAGAGGCATGAGGCCAGTTAAAGTTAGCAGAAGGTTCTTATCTGAAAAACAGATTGGAAGGCAAAGGGCCTAGGAGTGTGGCACATGCGGTAAAGCTGTTGCCTGGCCATCTCAAGGCCCTGAGTTCAATCCCCAGTACTGGGAGAAAAAAGAAAAGAAGAAATACGTTCCATAGGCTGTCTCAGAGGAAGGCAGGGCAGAAAGGAATGCTGACCACATCTTGGCCATCTCTAGATCATGGTAAGATTTCCCAGAGAGGCCTGTTTATTTCACAGAGCTGAACTTTCCGGGTTTTCTATCCTTGCTGGTGTTAGAAAGATGCAGACTCAGTAGAAGTGTTGACAAAGGCCCTTGTGCACAAGGCCAGTGGCCGAGAGCCCTGCCTGCCTGCCTGCCGGGTAGTGGGCACGGGAGCCTCATGGTGGTGTCTTCCTTCTGCAGGATATCATCGAAGGTGGTAGCCTGCGCATCCCCCTCCAGGAGCTGCACCAGATGATCCTGACGCCCATCAAGGCCTACAGCTCCCCGAATGCCACACTGGATGCCCGCCACCAGGAGCCACCGGTCCCACACCAGCCCTCACTGATGGGTCCTGAGAACCAGAGCCCGGACTGCAAGGACAGCTCCGTGGCCGCTAGCGCTGCCGCCAGTGCTGCTGCGGGCGCCAGCGGCGGGCTGCAGCCACACCAGCTGAGCAGCTGTGATGGGGAGCTGGCTGTGGCCCCCCTGCCAGAAGGGGACCTCCCCGGGCAGTTCACACGCGTCATGGGGAAAGGTATTCTTGCTGAACTCACCCACCCAGAGCTGGGAGTACTTCCCTTCCATTCGATAAGTGACCTGTCCCCCACAGATGGCCCTGGGTTCTCTGGAGAGACGGGAACAGTGTGGCGCAGAGATCAGAACCCCTGCCTCTCTGATCCCTCGACCTCCCATGAGAGTCCCATTGGGCCTTGAGCCATCAGAGGAGGATGAGGGGGACAGACTTTCGGGGACAAATTATTCCCTCAGCTAATGATAGCTCCCCAAAGCAGCAGTGGCAGAGAGTAAACACTGCAGAAATCAAAGACCAGCTTGTGCTGGGAGTTGTAATCCTAGCTGCTCAGGAGGCTGAGATCTGAGGTTCATAGTTCAAAGCCAGCCCAGGCAGGAATGCCCATGAGACTCTTACCTACAATTAACTACCATGAAATTGGAAGTAGAGCTGTGGTTCAAAGTGGTAGAGCACTCTCCTTGAGCAAAATAGCTCAGGGACAGCCCCAGGCCCTGAGGTCAAGCCCCATGATTAACCACACACACATTCTTCTCTCTCTCTCTCTCTCTCTCAAGCCCCCAAACTGGCACAAAAAACAAAACAACAACCTGTGCAGAGAGGCCAGGCCTCAAGGTTGCTCCCTCACCCCTGGAAGTTCTTTCATGGGGCCATAGTGTGGGAATTCTCAGCATAGACCTGTTCTGTACGTGTTCTCTGATGCATAGGTTTCCATTCTTCCTTCAGATCAGATCCACCCTACAAATGCTTTTCTGCTAATAGCTTGTAGTTGTTTAATAATGATTGGGTACCAGGCACAGTTCTCTGTGCTTCGCCTCGGCACCTTAATTCCACTGCCCCCCGTCACTTTATAGAAGTAGAAACTGAGGCACATAGGCCAAGCAGCCCACCAAAGCTTACACAGAGCTGCGGGCAGGGCTGATAACTGGACCCCACAGCTTCTCCACTGCCCACCCCACCTGGTTACCACTGTGCCTCCTGAGCACTAGATGGAGTGAGGCGACACCCTACCTGATGTCTCCCGCAAACAATCACCTACTCCCTGGCTGCCTGCGCTCTCCCATCCCCACCCCAAGCAGACTTTATGTTGTTGAGTTCTCAGAAACGTGTGCCTTCTCATCTCCTTTGTGCACACGTTCTCTCTGTCTGGAGCCCGGCCCCTGCTGGTTCACAAGGAGCCTCGGTGAAGAATCAGCGGTGGCATCGTGTTTGACTGGATAGAGCAGCAGCGGTCCTCACTGCAGCGTGCATCTGTGCAGTGCATGCGCCCCACTTCCCTCTGCCACGCCTTGCCTGGAAACCCCGCCCTCCACCCGTTCCCTTCACCTACATCACATCTCATCCTTTACATCTCAGCACAGCCATCCTGTGGGTCAGGAACGCTAGGTGAACCCCCCACCCCCCCGGCTGGGTGAGGTACCCCTCTCCCCAGCCCACAGCCCCTGTGTTCCTTAACTTACCCAGGTCACACATGATTGCACTCATTGGTTTGCTTGACTGTCTTAGTATACCATTACTGTTTTGCATAACACATTATTACATTATATTATACTATTATTGTGTAGTGCTGTCAGGCTATTTATTGATTTATTTATTATTTAGTGCCAGTCTTGGGGCTAGAACTCAGGGCCTGAGCACTGTCCCTTGGCTCCTCCCCTCCCCCCCCCCCCCCCCCCACCACCACCAAGGCTAGCTCTCTGTACATGAGCCACAGCTCCACTTCTGACTTGTTAATTAATTGGAGGTAAGAGTCTCATGGGCTTTTCTGCCAAGGGTGACTTTGAATCTTCATCCTCAGATCTCAGCCTCTTTGAGTAGCTAGGATTACAGGCATGAGCCACTTTTAATATCCACTGAACACTTTAACCTGTGACACAGACCTAGTTGATGCACAGAGTGAGAGGTGGCACTGGTCTGTACAGTTGCCTAAACTGTGAACTGTCCCTGGCTGTGTTCACGGGTCTGCCAGGGCAGGGTGGACCATGGTGTGTCCTTGACCTCTGGGAAGGGCCAGAGTGTCCTACCTGTACTCCTCTGCCTGCCCATGGCCTTGGCCCCTCACATCCATATCCTCAAAAATGCCCAACCTTAGAATCATTTGTGTTTGATAGAATGGTTCACAAGAAATTTTGATTATTTAAAAAAGTATGATGGGTGCTGATACGTTTCCTTAGAGGTTCTGAACTTTGCTGTCCAATATTTTGGACCATTTTAAAGAACCGACTTCCCACCAACAGAAATGGATACCTGAGCCTTACAGCAGGGGTGAGAAATACCACTTCCCATACAAGTCTTTAAAAAAAAAAAAAAAAAAAAAAGACTTCACTTCCTAGCTGGGCACCTGTGGCTCACATCTGGAATCTTGGCTACTTAGAAGACTCAGAATGGGAGGGTTGAAGTTGATGAATAGCCTTGACAGAAAAGTCCAAGACACTCTTACCTCAAGCAAAAGATGTTTGTTGATGTGACACATGCCACTCATCCTGGCACGGAACGCCTACAATAGGTAGATCACAGTCCAGGTAAAAATCAGTGCCTGGAGATATGGCTTCATGCCTCGCTTGCCTGACAAGTGTGAGGTCCTGATTTCAAAACCCCAATACTGTCAAAAGAAAAAAAAGAAAGAAAACCTTGAAAAGACACCTTAAAACCTAAAACAGAAAACGACCCACAGCTTCCTTAAGATTGGCAGCCAGGGCAGACCCTGTTCTTTCCGCCTCCCTACCCATCCTGTACTACGTTGGAGTAGGACAGTTCTCCTCATGAGTAAGGACACCGTCCTGCAGATAAATGGACATGGGTCTCTCCACCTGGCCCCGAAGTGGGGACAAAAGAATTGATCCTTAGGAGTCCCACAGCCCTCTGCTTCTGCTACTGTGTGCATTGTAACTGCACATTCTAAACCCAATTTATGCTCAAGATTCACAAGTCAATGAGTTGATGGAAGGGGAAAATCATCTCCCCTGCCTGCTTCATGCCCTGCCATCTTCCTCTGGGGGGTAGTTACTGTTAAGTTTGGGGATATCCTTTGGAAAACCTGTCCAAGTCTCCATTTTTGCACACGTGGGCCATATTCTTTTTTGTAGCATAATGTGGATTGTTCATTTTAGGACATTGTATACTTTGAATTTTTTTTTGGGGGGGGGGGGGTCTGGTCGTGGAGCCTGAACTCTGGGTCTGGGCGCTGTCCCTCAGCTCTTCAGCTCAAAGCTAGCGCTCTACCACTTGAGCCACAGCGCCACTTCTGGCTTTTTTTCTTTTTGCTTATGTGTTGCTGAGGAATCGAACCCAGGGCCTCAGGCATGCAAGGCAAGCGCTCTACCACTGAGCCACCTTCCCAGCCCTACTTTGAATATTTCTATCACTATAAATAGCACCATTGCATAATTTACCTAGCAGGGTCCCCAATAATGGACACAAGGCAGTTTCTATAGTTTGTTTTTTTTTTATTTATTTGTTTCTTTGTTTTTGGTGGGGGTGAGGATGTGCACGTGAACACACACACATGCACTTGTGTGCAAGTCCTGGGGCTTGAACTCATGGTCTGGGTGCTGTCTCTAAACTTTCTTTTGCTCAAAGCTAGTGTTTTACCATAAGTTTCACTTCTGGCTTTTTGGTAGTTAACTGGCTATAAGAGTCTCCCAGATGTTCCTGCCTGGGATAGCTTTGAACCATAATTCTCAGATCTCAGCTTCCTGAGTAGCTAAGATGACAGGCATGAGCCACCAGTGCCTGACACTTCCTTAGTTTTTATCACAAATAACTGCTGTATTGAAAACTTGTATGCAAAGAGACAAAATAAGTGAGATCCTGTAATAAACTGTTTAGGAATAGGGAAAATTCAATGGGAGGACCAGGTTTTATACTTGATGTGTTTACAGGCCTCGCTCACTCTCTGGCTATTCACACACACACACACACCACCACCACCACCACCACCACCACCAAAGCTGGCATGAGAAAACCAGTTCTTGCCTGTTCTCCATCCACCGACTGACAGCCCTGTCTTTCCTAGCACTCACATGAATGTGTAGGTGAACCTGTGTGTATAAATATACACATCCCTTTGCAAAAATAATCTCCAATAGTGAGTGGCAAGTTCCTACCCACACACCTCACAGCCCAAAAACAGAGTGCCAGCCCAGTTCCTCCACGTGTAAACACCACTCTTTCCGCATGGCAAGGTGCGTGGGGCTCATTCATGACATGGAGTGGGGGTTGCCTGTCTGCCCATGGTGGGGGACTTTGAGGCTCTGCAAAGCCCTGGCTCACAGAGCTGAGGATGCCTCAGCTCTTCTCTCACCAAATATCTGTCTCAGGCCTGCTGGCTGAAGGCTTAATATAGATTGGTATGACAGGAATTAACCCAAGAAGCTCTCTTGGTGACCAAGCTTTTGACTTCAGTGGAATGAGGAGCCTCCTGGCATTTGGGTTTTTTTTTCCCCCCCAATCTTATCTAATCCCACGAGCTCACATATTTTACAAGGCCTTGGTCCTGAAAGGAAATCAGAAGCAGATTTCAGAGGTTAGCATGGGAATGTGTGGGTCTCATTCATGGTTGTTGTTTTTTTTTTTTCCCCTCCTTAATTTACAGTGTGCACACAGCTCTTGGTCTCCAGACCTGATGAGGAAAATATAAGTTCCTATTTACAGCTCATAGACAAGTGTCTCATTCATGAGGTGAGTAGTCACTGCTTTTACCCAACTCTCTTCCTCGTTGCTTAGAGATCTTTCTCAGAGTTTCTGTGATGTGATCATTTCTGTGTCCAACAAGTTGTTTTGGAAGAGTGGATGGTCATTCATAATAGCTCAGGCAGAACTAGCCTGCTGCTTGCCTCCAACTATCCAAGATTCACCAAACCATGAGCCTGGATATGAGGGGATAGCTGAGTGGACTTTTGATTCCAGGAGAATTGCTTGGAGTGGCTAACACAGAGCCCTACCACCGAGTTCTGGGCATCTTCAAGTCTTTTAAACCTGGTGTTGAAACATTTTTGCCTTTTAGGGCAGGAAAACTGGAGGTGCAGTTAGAGAGGGAAGAAAAGGCACACAAAGGAAATAGTAAGCACTTGTGTGGCGTGTGTGTGGATGTGTGTGGATTAATAGCTGCTCAGCTGTTCGTTTGGGTTTGTGGTTTTTGTAGGAACTATATTTGCTACCTATTTTTTGGAAGGAAACTGAGGCAAGCTGGAAGGGTACCTGTGAAACTCTTAGAATGTAATAGTCTTCACAGAGTCCTGAGCACAGGCTGAGCTGGTCATTACTCCTCCTCTCCCCCCCCCCCCCCCCCGCCCATCTAGACGGAGGGAGCTGAGCCTCTAATCCAGATGTGCAGTGGTTACTTGGAACCCTACTCCTTATCATATACCCACAGTTCCAGAGACAGTATATCTAAATTTGGGATTAGATAACCCAGGATGGTGAGGTTTTAAGGAATCCCCCAAGTCTCCTCACTTTCACTTGCAGGCAGAACTCCAGGAATCCACTGGACCCTGGGGGAGGAGGCACCCAGACAACAGCCTAGACTGGCCCCTTTTTACTTATGTGTGCCCACCCACCCAGCCGAGGGTCTCTCTGTTCTCAGGGCCTTCTGCTGTTCGCCTGGTCTATGCAATCCGTGGAGGTACCTGGTGTCTCACAGGGGCTCCACCTAGCCACTCTTTCGTCATTCCCCCCAACCTTCATCTTTATAGCTGGTCTTTGGTAGACAGTGCAAACTTTCATGCCCACTCCCAGTGCTAAAGTCATAGCCCTGTGTCACAGTGTGAGCTTAGTGCCTATGCTAGAAACAGAAATGCTCCATCCTCTGGATGGATATTTTGGGGTTTTTTTTTTTTTGCTTAAATAATAATAAAATCTTTATCTCTAATAGTTTACCCAGAGCACCCAGACACTGTCTAATGATAACCAGGGCCTATACTAAAGTACTTACTTGTGGATGGGTTTCAGTAAGGGTCAAGGCCACAAGCTACAAGCCCTACTAACCCTTGGCTATTTCCAATCAGGACTCTGCACTTGTTGGGGTGGGGGGCAGAAGCAAGGAAGGAAATACACATGGAAGGATGTCACAGTGCATTCATTCCAAAAGTATTTATTGAGCATCTAGGCCCTGTCCCTAGCTAGATGGCTTATGGTATGAGGGTGATGTGAGACAAACCAAAAACAGATCCTCACACATACGACAATAAAACTTTTGAGGAAAGCCAGGCCCTGGTGGCTCACCCGTGTAATCCTAGTTACTCAGGAAGTGAAGATCTGAAGATGGAGATGCAGAGATAGTTGAACAGGAAAGTCTATGAGATTTTTATCTCCAGGAAAAAGGAAAAAACCCAGAGGTACAGTTATGGCTTAAGTTGGTAGAGCACTAGCAAAAAAAAAAAAAAGTCAAGTGAGAACTCAAGGCCCTGAATTCAAGTCCCAGAACTAGCACACAAAGAAAAAAGTTAGAAAAAAAATGGAAACAAACCTTCAGAAGAGCCTTAAGAGTTCAAAAGAGGAATGGTGGGTGCTGGACCTCAAAGCCAGATCCAGGGCATTTCATAGGAGTCTTGTCCCCAAGCTGAGGCCCAAAGGCTGGTTGGAGTGTTGAGGAGGCAGGCCGGGCTCCAGCAGCAGGCTCTGGAGGGCTCTGTGCTCTGTTGCAGAGGCATCCATGGCTGGCTCGGGATGGATGGATCAGGCGAGCATTTAATGGAACTCCGCTTCCTCTCCCATACTCACTCTCCAAATGGAGCTTTCAAGATACTGGGGGAGAAGATAACCTTCCACCTCACCCTCTGTCAGACAGACCCTCAAGGCCCAAATAATGAGTCCTTCTGCTCCTCTCTTAAACAATATGCTAGCCCCCTGCTTTGTCTGCACAGCCCAGGAACTTTGGCCTGATGCTTCTTAATCTTCTGCTACCCTGCCCGCTCTACTTGGACACTCTGTCTGGACTTTCTCCCTCTCCCTTTCCCTCCTCCCCCCTCTCCTTGCTTCTCTGGGAGCTCCAAGTGACTTGGAGCAAATGTAGCACCAGGTGGTCTGATCTTGGCAGCAGGGGCCTCACTATAGGGACAGGAAGGATCTTTGTGACATGGCTGCCTGCCCGAATCCATGGCAGGATGGATGGGCCCAGCCAATGGTCTGGAAGGGAAGAAGTATTGCTCAAGTCTCTTTATTGTTAACTTATTTTGAGAAAGTGCAAAACCATCTGAATAATTTTCCACAGCCAGGGGTTATTCTATATCGCAGCCATCCCCGACCCTGGGAGACCCAGTCCCCATCCTGTGTGAGGCGAGGTTAGCTCCCAGACAGCGCTCCTTTCACAGCTATAGTGTGCCAGTTCTTCAGCAGGCTGGAAGCAGGAAGGTATTGGATAAACTAAGACAACTTCCTTCCTCCCCAGAGAGGAAAGCACCCACTCCTGGGAGTAGTGAAAGATCAGGACAGTTCTGAGCTTTGCTTCTGAAACCAATTGCTTTGAATTCTGGATTTAAAATTCTAAGCTTCTTGAGTGTGTGTGTGTGTGTGTGTGTGTGTGTGTGTGTGTGTGTGTGTGTGTGTGTGTGTGTGTGTGTGTGTGTGTGTGTGTGTGTGTGTGTGTGTGTGTGTGGTACTGTAGCTTGAACCCAAGGCTTTTTTTGCTGGTACTCTACCCCTTGAACCATATTTCTACTTCCAGTTTTGTGCTGGTTAATTGGAGATAAGAGTCTCTCAGATGTGTCTGGTGAGCTGGCTTCACACCAGGATCCTCAGATCTCAGCCTCCTGAGTAGCTAGAATTACAGATGTGAGCCACCTATGCTCAGCTTCCAAATTCCCTCCCTTTTTTCCTTCTTCCCTCCCCCCCTCCTTCTCTTCCTTCATTTCTTCCTTCCTTCTTTCCATTTTGCCAGTACTGGGATTTGAACTCAGGGCCTTGCTTGCAGGTGCTCTACCACTTGAGCCATGACTTCAGCCTTATTCTCACTTCCTGGGAAGATAGGTGAAAAGTCCTGACACAAAAACAACTAGACACACTGCAGCCATCTTCCTCCAGACAGATGGATGGGTCTGGGCCTGAACTGGCTGACATGGTGGTATAGGGGTAGTCTCTTCTTCACCAGATCCCCAAAACATTGGGCTGCCATTGGAGGGGCAAATCGATGATGAGATGTCAGCCATTAGCACTGCTTTGCAGGCACAGAATGCAGTTTTCACACATCCCTGGAGCCACTGAAACCTAGCTAGACTGCTCTCTGGACGCCTCCTGGCTGAGAAGAGCCACCACACTCACTCAGCATACTGAGGAAACAGCCCCGGTCTGCAGCCCTGAACTCCGTGAGCCCAAGGCCAGGGTGCTGTGAGGGACAACTCTGTGTCCCTATTTCATCTTCTTGGAGGCTGTTTGTCACTATGGGGAGATGTTGTGTACTGATGCCATGTAACGATGTCCTTGGAAGGATGTGTATAAAGTGAATCATTTGCTCCTTTATCTTTTTATCCTAAACATCAGGCCAAATATTCTTCCAGCTGGCTCCAGACCAGCTTCATATTGTTGTTTTGAGACCATGAAGCCATTTGGATTGTCTTGCTGTTGGGGCTAAAGTTCATAGTTGGAATCCAAATGTGAAGAACCCTCATAGACCATCCCCAAAGCATGAGTCTGTGTAACCAGCATGCATCAGACCATTTCTAAGAGCACCAATAATTCTCCAAGCTTTCTGTGGGTTGCTTCTGTTCATTTTCGCAATGTCCCTTTGAGCAAGGTAGCATCCCCCTCAGTCTCCAGAAGGAAGGCAGTCTTGGCTAAAGGAACTTGCCTAAGAATGTTCAGGATTCACATCCTGCCCATTTGGACCCAGAACCTTCCTATGAACCTTCCCTGGGCTGGACTCTTCTTCCCGCCACGTCTTTTTGACCACATAGTGGTATCTTGTGTCCTCTACATTTAGCTGAAGAAGCTGATCTAAAGCAATATTTCTTCTCAACCTTTATTAATCCAGCAGAAACAAATGCCTTTTGTCCAGGCATACATGAAGGTACATATTTAGTGAGCATTACCAGCAAGAGGACCATGGAGGTGGGCCACAGAGAGGGACCAGGCCCACACCTGCTAGTCATGAGACCATCTCTCACACACACAGGTGCAGGACTACTTCCCCTCTTCTCTAACGGAGCTTTTCTGGGTCCTTTCCTTGGATACTACCATATACACACACACCCTGGGTGCACATCCTCACTGGCATCAGCCAAGGCAACCCCGGAGGAAGGAGCCTGCAAGTCATCAATGTTCCACATTCGTCCACAGAGCTCTGCTATGTGTAGGCCCCTTAAAAGATTACACATCTGAGCCAGGCACTAGTGGCTCATGCCTGTAATCCTAGCTACTCAGGAGACCGAGATCTAAGGATTGTGGTTCAAAGCCAGCCTGGGCAGGAAAGTCTGTGAGACTCTTACCTCCAGTTAACCACCAGAACACCAGAAGTGGTGCTGTGGCTTAAGTAGTAGAGCGCTTAAGTTGTAGAGCTGAAGAACCCAGGGACAGCACCCAGGCCCATAGTTCAAGCCCCAGCACCAACGAAAAAATAATGATTACACATGCTGAGGAGAAAATTAAGCTGTCATTTTTTTTCTTCATGCAAAGAATCTGTTTCCTTTATGGGAACTAGTAATTTGGCCTGTTACTCTAAGTAATATTTTATTGCCACATGAAAGATTTCATGCCTTGTTGATAAAACCACTTGGGATTTGTTATCTGGCATTGTGACTGCTAATCAATCAAATCAGGTAGATATCCCATGGCTCACATGCTTTAGACATTGAATAGGGGGACTCATAGATACCTGCTTGGAAGGCCCTGGACCCATGCTCTTCCTTCAGAATCATCAGCATACCTACCACAAACCCCATCTTCTGAGACAAGCCTCCAGATGTTTTCAGTCAGGCTCTGAGATGGGGGAGAGGCCCAGGAACCTGCATTTAACAGTGTCGTTGGCTGATGTCAATATACTGTGAATTTGAGGTCCCTGGGCTGTGGTGAGTGCAAAAACTGTACATAAAAAAAAAAAAAAAAAACTCCTGCCAGGTGCCGGTGGCTCACGCCTATAATCCTAGCTACTCAGGAGGCTGAGATCTGAGGATTGCGGTTCAAAGCCAGCCCGGGCAGGAAAGTCCGTGAGACTCTTATCTCTAATCAACCACTAGAAAACTGGAAGTGGCGCTGTGGCTCAAGCAGTAGAGCGCTCACCTTGAGCTGAAGAGCACAGGGACAGCGCCCAAGTTCAGAGTTCAAGCCCCATGACCAATAAAAAAAATAATAATATATATTTTTTATTTTTTTAAAAAACTCATCATAGTTGTGTGTTGTAGAGCAGTAGACAAAACATCCCTACACCAGTTTTACTAGAAAAAGCATTGCAAGCATCGCATCTATCCCTTTTTATGAAACTCCAGACAAGGTTTAGTCCAGGCCAGTGCACTGGGGTTTTAGTAGGACATAGGACCACTTAAGTAGAGATTGCTCAGCAACCACCTTAAAACCCAGAGGGTATGTACCCACAGAACACTCCAGGGTGACCACACCCCATCAAGCAGATTGATTTTTGGAGTGGTTTAAAATTTTCATTGATTATGAAAATTCAGGGAGCCTGCAAAAGCCAGGGTATCCAGCAATCGATTCTACAATTCATTCTTGGTTAATGAGTAGAGTCCAAAGAGGAGTCGGAGGCCGGGAAGATGGGTATGGATCTGCCAGAAATGCAACCAGAAATATAAGGGTCATTCAAAGCATCATGTAGCTACCTTCCCAGGTGCTTCCGGTGCTGTGTAACTGGAATCTTCGCAGCCAGCATCCAAATGAAGCTGACTGCTTTTCGGACCAGGTTGAAAACAGGTGACCAAAAGGCAACTGCAGAGACACCAATGTGTTCCCCTGTTAATTGTATGTTTCTCCCTATAATACCAGGCTGCGTCACCCATTTAAAAGTCCTGTTTTGTTTTTGCAGGCATTTACAGAAACGCAGAAAAAAAGATTGTTGTCATGGAAACAGCAGGTGCAGAAGCTCTTTCGGTCCTTCCCTCGGAAAACCCTTCTAGACATATCAGGATATCGACAGCAAAGAAAGTATGTTGGGGTTTTGTCTTTTGTAATGCTCGGTGATTTCCCTGGTTCCTCCCTGCATGCCTGCATTTTAGAGGCAGGAATCTAGCTGATCGTTCATCCTTGTTCATACAGATGTCCTGTGGCCAGTTCCAAATCTCACCCCTTACAAGGTGGGGGTTGGGAAAGGGCTGTTGAGGGAGAGAATTCCCAGAGGTAGAACCGAATGTGAGCTTCTGTAACTCAGCTCACACTGTCAGAGTGATGGTGCTAGTCTAGAGGAGCATGGAAAGACAGAGCGGCTATGAATTCATGAATCCCGGCAAACATGGGTAGCTGATCTACAACAGGGACCTCAACCAGAGTGGGCTCCTCTATCAGCACCTTAAGTGCTAGTATAATTTTTCCCCTCCCTTCTAGCTGCAGACAAGCTAATTATAGTTGGTGGCAGGGTGAAGAGCCCAGTGCTAGTCTATTTTGGTCCAAGCTGCAGTCTTAATAGTAGAGCAGAACCATTCTAGAATGATTTTTCATAGTACTTCAGCTTCTTGGATGCAGTTAAAAATAAGCCTGGGGGTACTTTAGAACCTGTTACCTTAATATGGATTTAAATTGAAGAATCTGATTGCATAATGAAGGTGAGCTGAGTGTTAGTTCTTAGGAAAGCTCGGCTGGAGAGGTGGGAGGAGAGTGGACTTCAGCCTGGAACAACAGGGAAGTCATTAGAGAAAAGAGAATCCACATTCTAGCTTACAACTTAGAGACATGAGCAGATAGCTAATAATGTCTTTCCTTGCACCTAACAAGTTCTGAGTTCATTTTATTCCTTAGTGTGTATAGAGAAGCTTCAGTGTTACAGTTTAGGGGTGTTTGTTGGCATAAATGTACCTTAAGACATCACTGTTCTATATTATTGAGGGAGATAAAGCCAATTGGAAGTCTCCGTGAAAGATTGATCTTAAAATGATCATATTCCTGCATATAGTACTGTTGTCTATTGAACAAACATTTATTCAGCACATACAATGTGCCAACTGATAGCCAAGCACTTTAAAAATAAAATACCTTTCATCCTTGCAACAACCCTATGAGGTAGAGCTGCTATTCATAACCCCAATTTAGAGATGGCTCAGTAGACAGTGGCACCCAGGACTTGGATCAGGCAGGCCACAGTGCCAGTCCTGGCTCGGTGCTCTTCACCATGGAATAGCCAAGAGAGTTTCCTGGGCTCAAAGTGATACTCAGAAAAGACTTTCCAAGCTGGAGGTGAGTAGTGGCTTACACCTGCAACACTAGCTACTCAGGAGGCTGAGATTTGAGGGTTGCAGTTCGAAGCCATCTGGGGTAGGCAAATCTGAGAGGCTCTTAGCTCCAGTTAACTAGCAAAAAGCCAGAATTAGAGGTATGGCTCAAGTAGTAGAGCATCGGCTTTGAGCAGAAAAGAAAAGCCAAATACGAGAGTAAAGCCCTCAGTTCAAACCCTAGTACCAGCATACACCCAAAGAAAGAAAGAAAGGAAAGAGAGAAAGAAGAAAGAAAAAGAAAGGAAGAAAGGAAAGAAAGAAAGAAGAAAGAAAAGGAAAGGAAGAAGAAAGTAGAACATTCCAGTAAAGTTGGAGTCAGCTCCCTGGCCCCAAGTCCTATGGGACTACAGCCCTGGTGGCTGGCCTAGGCTCCACCTACTCCCTGAAGATAACTCAAGACCTGAATGAAATACAAAATCTGATCCTCAGCCTCCTACCTCAATCCTGCCACCCCTCCCGTCCTCTAAAGTCAGCATGACTTCCGTCAAGCAAGGGTAGATGCCAGAACCTGACCGCAATACCAGGTGCTGGGAAATGTAAATTCCAAGAGGAAGAAGGAGGCATTGGCTTGCTAAAGTTGGAGATGAGGCTCTCACGCTCTTTGCTTCTTCTCCCCAAAGCTTGTCTGCTGTCTCTGTGAGCCCTGCTGGCCCTTCATCATCCTCAGAGAGCCCTGCTCAGGGCCGAGCTCATGTATTAGCCTCAACCTCTCCAGAGTTATCAGTTATTTCTTGGATTGGTTTTGCCAGGTGGGAATCCTGATCGATCTCTTTTTGTGGATTCCATAAGAAAGAATGAATCCAGCCCCAGATGTGGCTGTTCAGTTGAATGCAGCTAAAACCCTGGAAAATACTTTGTTTTTATGACTATTTCCTCTGGGATCTTTTTATGCTATTAATTTGCTTTGAAGACCTGTTTCTCCCATAATACCAAGGTAACCACAACTCCGTCCCTGCTTGAATTATCACAAATCCTAGCTTAATTGCTTCTTATTAATGTTATTTTATCAAAGACTTTTCATGCATTTCAAGGTAATAGTGGTATCAGTTAGATTAAGGCAGCAAAAGAGAGACACAGATGGGCAGAACAGAATGAGGAGGAAAACTTACTTTTGTAACTTTGTTCTCTCCCCAGAAAGCACAATTATTTCATTAAGCTGAGCAATCTTGATTTTAAGTATTCATTCAGGTGCCAGCTGTGGAAATCTTTGGTAAATCTGGCTTTGTGATAACCCATTGAGACCATCACAAGCCCTCCCATCAGAAGAATGGGTTGGTCAAATTCTTACCATCACATCCTTCCCCACAACATTCTAGATTCTACTCGGCCTTCCCAAACAGATGAGTCCCAACTCTAGGAGTCCTGAGGTGACTTGTTTCTCCGGTAACAGAATCCTCTTCACACTTAACCCCTAAAGAATACTACCTTGAGCCAGGCATGGTAGCACATACCTGTAACACCTCCTAACATTTGGGAGACTGAGGCAGGCTGACCTAGGCCAGTCTAGGATACACAGCAAGACTCAAAAATAAATTTTTTAAAAAACAGAAAGTCTTGCCTTCCTGGAAGCACAGTCATTTTAGCAACATTCATTGACTGCTGTGTTTTGCATATGAAATAACTTTTGAAAAATCATACCAAAACGGAAAGTGAGGGGGAAAAAAAAAACTATCCACACTAAATAAGGAAAAACATCTTAGCAGAATCCTGAATCATCTGCCAGGTGGCTAAAATTCTGACTCCAGAAATCAAGGAACTAGTTTTCACAGTTTGGAAAAAAAAAAAAGAAAAAAGGAAACGGGGTGGGGGGGGAGGGAGGGGAACTGGGCAAAAAGAAAAAAATCACTTTCCTTGTTTCCCGGGAGAGACTATCCTCTCTCCAAAGGAGGTCTCTGATCACATGTAAATTGTAAATGACATATGTCACACAGATCCCTGTCCCTAATTTCTCTGGCAAATTAAAAGTCTTATTACTCATGTTTTTTTTTTAAAAAAAAAAAAAAAAAAAAAAAAAGGAAAAGTGGGAAGGGGTAAGACAAAGACACCAGGAGCCTCCAACATCCTCCTCTTTGGATGCAAATCAAGAACACACTCTTTGGCCACAAAAGCTTGGAAGTAGAAAGGAACCCAGCCTAGAATTCTAGAATTCTTTTCCCCAGGCCCCTCTCCTTCCTAGGACATTTAGGAATCCAGGGGAGAAAGGAGATGTTGCTCTGAGCTTTTCTGTGCTGCAGGCCCAGATAACCCCCTCCCACACACATGCACAACTCTGCCTGGCTCAGGAAATGACTGTTTTGCAGGGCCCCTCTGGTCCTCCTCTGGTTGAAGCTACGTCAGCCTGTCTGCACAGGCTGCGGAATCTCCTCTCAGGCTTGGTACAAACTCCCCAGTGTAGCTGGACAAGCAAGTCTGCGACATCTAGTGGCCATGGGCAGATAATGCATGTCCCCTGAAACCTCTGACTCTCTTGGAAAAAATGTGTTGGTTCCTGAAATCCCATCTGCAGCCTCCCAGAACTGAGGCTGGTGGACAACATGAGTTCTTCAGTGCTGAGCTCACCCAACCCTGGGGGGGGGAGCAGCTTTCTGCCTGGACCCAGGAGAAGCTGGGAGCCTCACTGGCCTTTAAAAAGCCCAGTCTGCAGGGAGTGTGAGGCAGACCATAACCTCGGCCTAGAGCACCGTGCATCATCATCTCATACTTCCACTACCCACAGATGAGGTAGGCTGTGGAGTTTAGAGGACCATCATGATGGTAGAGATTGAGTCATTCATTCACTTAATCATTCACCCAACATTTACTGCACCAGGAACCCAGAATTAAAGAGGACAGGCTTTGGCCTTTGTTTTTAGAGCCTTCCAGAGTCTCCATCCCTCAAAGTGTGCAGCGCCACTCTGGTAAGAAGTGTACCACGGCATGACTGACGGCCGGCTGGGACAGTCACCTCCGTTCTTGTCCTAGCTCTGCCACTTTCTGGCTGTGTGTTTGAAAGTCACTCTTTCAGACAGGGAATTCAAGAGGGCAAAACAGGATGCCAGTTCACCGGGGCCTACCTCGCAGCACTGCCCCCTGCTGGCTGTGTGGCCTTAGCAAAATTATCAAGCTCTCCTACAGCCCTAAACTTCTCAGGGTTGTGAGCAGGTGTGTGACACATGAGCCACATGCTCTCGGGTGGCAGCTGCCATTTTGATCACAACCCCTGGCTAACACAGTTTCCCATAGACCTCTCCACTTGTGGACTATCCCAGGGAGGTGCCTGGGTTCTCTGTGAGTGACTAAGGACTTGATGGTCTCTGCGTTCTTTCCTCTTATTCTTGCAGTCGGAGCTTTGGGCAGTCTAACTCCCTCCCGACGGCTGGCTCTGTGGGTGGTGGCATGGGCAGACGGAACCCACGCCAGTACCAGATCCCTTCTCGCAATGTCCCTTCCGCCCGCCTGGGTCTCTTGGGCACCAGTGGATTTGTCAGCTCCAACCAGCGCCACACCGCGGCCAACCCCACCATCATGAAGCAAGGAAGACAGGTTTGTTCCACCCTCCTCCCCCTCTCCCCCCCCCCAGCTGGAGGTTTGCCAGCCTCAGGGTCTGAGGCTTCCTGATTTCCCAGATGACCCCAGGGTATGAAGGAAAAAAAAGCAGTGGAACCCGTGCCTCGCAGGCAACCAGAACTGTTTGTATGGTTTCCCTGGGAGACTGAGTTACCCTGAGGCTGCGCCTGGGCGGCTGTACACCCAGTTAGCCCGGCTGTACACCCGAGATATCCTGCCCAGGGGCCCTTTTAGAAAGATACAAAGACACCGTGTTGAGCTTTGACCTCCAACACACCTCAGCACCTCCCAACTCTGGGTTGCAGGGGATGGTATTCAAGGAGCTTTCTTTGTGTTTTGATCTGTAACAAATAGCTCTTTTGCCAAGGTCCCAGCTATGATGGAGACCACCACGCAGGATTGAATCTGAGAGAGGCTGTCATTCCCAGCTGGTCAGGATAGTTGCTGCAAGATCTAGAGCTGACATCTCTGAACTATACTTCCTTCCCCCACCCCTCCCTGCGCCTTTTCCCCCCACATGCCCTCAACGGTACAGATTGAGGCTGCACAGGTTAGCTCTAGGATTAGAGGGACACAGCAGGCCGGTGTCCTTTTCTTGGGAGAAAGGATAAGGGTGAGAGATTGGCTTTATAAGCCAGAAAATGAACTCCAGGACAGGTGGGCAGGATTCCCACCACCACCAGGAGCAGCCCAAGACTTGAGAAAGCCCCATTTTCTGATCATTGTCCAAATCCAGTTAAGAGAAGGTCACTTCCAAAACATAGGAATTGAGTTGGGCCAGCCTGCTGCTAGCTCAGATCTTACTTTTCACCTTAAAGATTGGCCAAAGAATCAATCTGAAGCATCTCAAATAAGAGCCCTGTCATTTCTTACTCCTTATTGCAAACATTTCTTTTCCTTTTTCTTTTCTTTTTTTTTTTTTTTAACCAGTCCTGGGGCTTGAACTCTGGGCCTGGGCATGAGCTTTGTACTCACGGCTAGCACTCTGCCACTTGAGACCACAGCTCCATTTCAAGCTTTTTCTGTGACTGATTGGAGATAAGAGTCTCATGGGACTTTCCTGCCTGGGCTGGCTTGGAACCAAGGTCTTTAGATCTCAGCTTCCTGAGTAGCTAGGATTACAGGCAGGAGCCACCAGCATCCGGCTTGTTGCAAACATTTCTAGAACTCCTCTCCACCCTTTTCCCTGGAAAGTGACAGGGAAGAGTGTCCAATGTAGTCAAAGCAGTATAGGAGATGGGGAGCTAGCTGGTGGCAGCAGAAGCTACAGCTGACAGGGAACGTAAGAGGGGGGTCCGTGAACAAATGCAGGAGCAAATGTGCGAAATCCTCTTGGTAGAACTGCACAGATGGGGAGCTCTGGCCTCCAGAGCCTTCCCTAGACATCATTAGATGGCCCAGTCCCCCAGGGCCTTGCCTCCTAGACTAGGAGGGAGGGAGGAGCCTGTTCCTCCCGCCCCTACTTGTCCCAGGGTGTCTAGACTAATGTCCCTCCCCATCCCCCTTCCCTCTGTCTTCCTCTCCAGAACCTGTGGTTCGCCAACCCAGGCGGCAGCAACAGCATGCCCAGCCGCACGCACAGCACTGTGCAGAGGACCCGCTCGCTGCCCGTGCACACTTCACCACAGAACATGCTGATGTTCCAACAGCCAGGTAGGGCCCAGCGGGTGCCTGATCTTTCTCCTTTCCTTCCTCCCGCCCCCCCCCCCCCCATGCCAGAATAGATGCCCCGGTGACCCAGCCCGAAAGTGCTGAGCCTCAACTGTCACCACGCATTCTTTCGAGCTGGTAGAAGTCTTTCCTTTTTTAAACCGTGCCTTGCCAGCATGAACAGCGGCGGCCTGGCTGGGAGCCAGCTCCGTGGAGCCTCAGAGTCAGGTGCAATGTGACGGGGATGTTTTTGATAATGCGTCATATTCCTAGATTGATTGATTAAGCCAGCGATATCACTGGAGGAGTTCTGTGTGTGTGTGTGTGTGTGTGTGTGTATGTGTGTGTAGAAAAAGTGAGAATGAGACAGAGAAAATTTGATTATAGTGATGCTGGCTTGGGATTGCCTTGGAAAGCCATACTCATCAGACCCAGCCATCTTTCCTTTGCTTGGCTTAAGAACAGCTTGGCCCACTTCAAGTCAATTTCCACCAAACACCATGCCTTCTAAGATGCAGTATCCAGAATTAAGCACTGCCAGCAGGTCCTTGAACCCTCTCCCTATGCAAGCAGCGACCTCCAGATTCTTGGGAAGAATGCAGAACCACACAAACAACACAACACCGAGGTAGATTCCGCCAGCCAGGCAGCAAACAAGAGATGTGTGGTGCCTACTGGAAATGCCCACCAGAGGTGGTAAGAGGACCCTGGACAGCAAGCCCTACCAGAGTCTAAAGAAGGGAGCTGGCTGGTGGCCTCAGGTAGCCCAGAAAGCTTCTTGAAATTGGAGCTGAGTTTCAGAAGACAGATTGTAAAGTGGGAAAGGGCAGGCAGAGTTAGAGACAACTCCAGGGATGGCCCGGAGCTGGTGGCTTATGCCTGTAATCCTAGCTTCTCAGGAGGATGAGATTTAAGGATCCCAGTTCAAAGCCAGCCTGAGTAGAAACGTCCATAACTCTTACTTCCAATTAACCAAGGGAAAAAAACCTAGAAGTGAACGTGTGGCTCAAGTGGTAGAATGCCAGCCTTGTGCAGAAAAAGCTAAGGGAGGGAGAGCACCCTGGCCCTGAGTTCAAGCCCCAGTACACACACACACACACACACACACACACACACACACACACACACACACACACACACACACACACACACACACACACACACACACACACACACACACACACACACACACACACACACACACACACACACGGAATAAAAGAATATGTCATATTCTAGGCCCAAAAGTCTGGCGGGGGTAGCAAGGACCTGTTAGCTCAGACTGGGGACTTTGGATTCAAACTTAAATAGACTGTGATTCCTCTCCATGAGGGTCATGCAGGGTTGTACAAAGGAGAGGTACCCTAGAGGCAAGAAAGCGAGGGGGGGGAGATGCTAAGGAGAGAGGATGCACCCCTGGAGAAGGCTGGTCAGGAGAGGAAGCATCAGCCACAGGGCCCCACACCTAGGAAACTTGCTCTCTGCCTAACTCTTAAAACTCTTCTCATTTGCTTCCTTTGGTTCCAAAGCCTCTTTTCTCCATTTCCATACTGGCAGCTATTTTTTCCAGAGAAGAAATGCTTTCAAATTTAGGGTTGCAAAGTCCTTTTTCCTACGTCACGGAGCCCAACCCTTTTTGCATGCAGAATTATGTAGCATCCATCTCCCATAAAAAGTGCACCTGGACAAGACTTGGAGCTGTCCCAGGCACCAGGGGCTCACCTGTGAATGAGTGTTTACCTTCCCCAATCCCAGGCCTGTATCCCAGCTGTCCTGTAGTCTCAGGGAACCTCTACAGAGCCTGGAATTCAGTGATGGCCTTCTTGATTACTTCTGGCCTGTGTTTTCCTTCCTGAGTCTCTTTCCCCAGCCATCCATCTTCCTCATTGTTTTTGCTACACTCTCCCTGAGCTTCCCCCATCTACACTGGGAAAAGCAGGGCCAGGAGGTCACCATTGTACGAGCTGGGTCATCCCTGGTCACTGGGAGTCTGTTGCGTTGGATTCTAGCCCATACCTTGGTTTCTCCCCACTGTCTTAAAGCACATAATTGCCAAGTGGCCATTCGTTCTGAAGGCCATTAGGGCCTCAGAGCCTTCTCACCCTCTTATTATCCCCTCCTATTTTCCGGAACCTGTTATCCCTGTGCTTGAAAAATCAAATGACACAGAGGGGCTCCTAAGGAAAAAGGAGCCCACCCTCCCCTAGCCAACCCTCTCCCCAGGCTCTTGTTCCAGAGGTGACCACTTAACGCAGTCTATTTTCGGTTTTCCTGCAAAGTAGCCACCTACCAGTCTCTAAAATTCACTTTTACACACTGGAACTTACAATTCTGGAGCCCTTGGGAGTTCATCTCCCCCCCCCCCCCCCCCCCCATGAATCTTTTGCCTGAGCATCTCCAACTAGGCCTTAAGCAATTAACAGTGGGTTGTTGTAGTTGGTAGCATCAGTGGTGTGTTTTTGGTTTTCCTGGTGAAACTGAGGTTTAAACTCAAGGCCTTGTACTTGCTAGGCAAGTGCTCTACTGTTGGAGTCACATCCCAGACCTTTTTACTTTAGGTTCTTTCTCAAATGCAATTTGACCCTTTTTATCTCAAGGCAAGGCAGGGCTCAGATTTCAATCCTTTTTTTTTTTCCCTTGAACTCAGGGCCTAGGCACTGTCCTTGACCTTTTGCGCTTAGGAATAGCACTGTGCTCTACCACTTTGAGCCACAGTGCTATTTCTGGTTTTCTGGTGGTTAATTGGCAGTAAGGGTCTCACAGACTTTCTTGCCTGGGCTGGTTTCAAACCGCAATCCTCAGATCTCAGCCTCCTGCGTAGCTAGGATTACAGGTGTGAGCCACTGGCGCCAGCTAGACTTCAATCCTGAGACCTTGTATCTATGCCTCTCACATAGCTAAGATTACAGTCATGAATCACCACACCGAGCTTGTGGAGATAGATTCAGGCTGCCTTTGAATCTTGATCCTTCGATCTTGGTCCTTCCCATCTCTACCTCCTGAGTAGCTGGGAGTACAGTCATGAGCTACTGTGTCCAGCTGAGAATGACAATATTTCTAATAGTGTCCAAAGCAAGAGAACAATTATCCAAACTTCTGGATTGCAGATAAACTGATGAGCTGTCCAGTACTCTGTACCATGCTGGGTGACTCCTTTCAGGATGAGGCCCTGATGGGTGAGGCAGACCTCAAATTCCCCCTGAAGAGCAAGGTGACTACACAAAATCAGGCTGCTTTGCAGCCCTTGCCCCTGGCTGCAATTATATCCTCTGCCTTTGCCAAAAACACACCTGTTGTCAAGACCAGAAGTTACCTTGGGAGCTTTTTCCTGCTTCCAGAGGAGGCAGCCTCTTCACGGAGACAACCACTCTTCCTCCAAGCCTGGCCCAGATAAGGCTAATTCAGAGAAATAGGTGTCTGGCAGAAGATAGAAGGGCCTTGATCTGAACAGCAATGTCACCTGGTTAGCGATGGGCACCTCTGAGGCTGGTGGCCAGGTGCTAGGACTGGACTACAGGTATTACCTCAAGATGGCAGACACCAGGAAGAGTGAAAGTAGCTTTCATGCTCATGCGAATGGGGAATGCAAAATGGAATAGAGATGTACGATCAATTCCAAATTAAAAACTCAGAAAGCTGCCTTACAATACAAGGGAGTCTTCTCCCCCCACCCCTGAATCCACCCCCTGCCCCCACCAGCTCTTAGGTGTCTGCAAAAAGCATCTATTTGAAGTCGCTGGCCAAATCTTAAAGAATACAATGCATTCTGAGAAAGTGCTGATTCTGGGAACTTACAAATAATCTTATTACAATGGAAGCCTTTGGCTCTCTCCAAAGAATACAGAGAATAGCAGCCAGAATGCATCTCCAAGTTGGGTCAATAACCAGTCAACCTTGTTCAGGTGCACAAGGTGCTGTGTTCTCTCCTGGCCTTGGTCCATCCTGGGTGGCTTTTCACTTTATTTCTAGTTGACTAGGCTTTGTGTGTCTCAGGACCAGCAGGAGCGCCATGCAGCGATTCCTGCATCTTACTGGCCCCTGGGAGGATAGAACCCCTCTCCTCAGCTAGGGCTTTTGAACAGAGAAGCACAAGGTCTAAGACACTCACCAAGAGGGTGACACAGCCAGGGTGCCCAGCTGTTCACAGAGCCAGGGGTTCTTTCTCGTTGGGAAATTGTTCGGAGAGTGATTCTTTCTCTCTTGGAAGCAGCTGTGTTCCTGCTGATCCAGGCTCAGCTGCTCTTGGGATCTTAGAGACTATAGAAGTCCCTTCTTCCCCCAGGGTCAGAGAAGCCTTAGAGTAGATTTCACAAGAAAACCACCAACAGAATGAGTTGGGCAGCCTTACAGGCCTGCCTTCTGGAAATCTCTTTCCCTGTATAATAACCACCTGCCAGCCAGTCCTGGGACCACAATACCTGGATGTGAGAAGGATAAGATGGTATTGCTCTTGATGCTCTGTTCATCACAGCAAAGCCCCTCCAGGTGCTGGCACATGATTCAAACCTTCCTTCCTTAGAATGCTGCACACCTTGGAGTACAACACACTAGGCCTGATCGTATTTTTCTCCTCTTTAGCGTTAGTTCCAGATTCCTAACAGAGGACTGCCTTTAGAAAGAGTACAGAGAAAGCTACTCAGGAGGCAGAGATCAGGAGGATTCCAGCTGTGCTTACGGTCACCCTATCTCAACAAACAAATCAGGCATAGTGGTGTACCCCCTGTTAATCCAGGTATGCAGAAGGGAGTGGTAGGAAGACTGTAGTCTGAAGCTAGAGAAAAATGCAAGACCCTATGCGAAAAATAACTACAAACCAGTTGTTGGTGGCTACTACCTGTAATGCTATACAATCTCCTCTAGAGGCTGAGATTGGAGGATTAAGGTTCAAAGCCAGCTCTGGCAGGAAAGTCCAGAAGACTCTTATCTCCAAATAACTATCAAAAAGCAGGAAATGGCACTGTGGATCAAAGTGGTAGAGTGCTAACCTTAAGCACAAAAACTCAGGGACAGAGCCCACACCCTGAGTTCAAGCCCCAGGAGACTAGCACAGTCATCATCATCATCATCATCATCATCATCATCATCATCATCATAGCCATAGAAAAAAGGGTTGAAGGCCTGGCTAAAGTGATAGAGCACTTGCATGTCAAGCACAAGGCGCTGTGTTCAAACTTCAATAATGGAAGAAATGCTGAGAGAGGAGGCATGCCATTAGAACCCAGACCCACTGGGGAAAAATACAAAGAAAGGAAATACCATGCAGAGGCCCCCAAACAGGACATATCTTAAATTACCTGGTAAATATTTGCTCCTCACCTTTTGCCTTGGCAAATGAATCTTTTTTACCACAGCCAAGAACCCATGAGACCCCATGTCCCCATGGGGTAAAGTTGATAGCGTGTCATCTGGTGCTGTATCATACCACTGTGTTTCACCAAGGTGACTCCCAGAGGACCCAGAGGCCAGGAGGCCGCCAGAGGAAAGTTGCATTGCCCCCAGCAGCCTCCGGGGTGCCATTCCTTCATCACATTCTTCTGCCACCTGCCATGCCAGCTCCATGATAGCCAGCTTGCCTGCTGCCCTGGACCCACCTCCCTGCCTGCCCCCTCTCCTGGTGTCCACCTTGCCTTGTCAACCATCTACCTCAATCTGTCATGGCGGAGCTCCAGTGCTGTCCCCGTCACAGTCAGCCTGTCTCCCCGCCTTATTCCCGCCTCTCCAACAACCTGCTTCTTGGGTACCCACACTCAGAGCTGCGCTGGCAGTGGCAAAGTGGGGTTCTAAAGGTTCGTTCCAAAATGTCTCAGTCTGTGCCTTGTCCTAAAATACTAAAAACAAAAGAAAATCAGCTTCTTGGTCAGAGGTACAGCTCAGTAGTAGAGTATCAGTCAGCAAGCCCAGTGAGAGGAAAGGAGGAGAGAGGGAAGGAAGGGAGGCAGGGAGGGAAAGAAGGAAGAAGAGAAGGAAAAAATTGGTCACACAGCTTCAATGCCTCATGGACAATGCTGAGAAATTACACCTCAAGTGTCAATGTGCCATACAGGCTCAAGTGGACCCTGGACCCTGGAGTAATACCTCTTAGGGAGAGATACTCCCTTCTGGAATATTCTTGCCCCTGGACCTGAGACTGGGCTACTCCATACTTGTGGGAAAGTATGAAAAAAGATAGTTAAGAAGTCAAATTAGTCTGGCCCCTGAGTTCCTCACTAAATCCTGGCAATATGTAAGACTGAGGCAAAGAAGAATGTCAGGGCAAGCTGAGCATCTATCTCTTGTCTGAAATGTTGGCAACTGGGAGTTCTTCCGATTTGGAAGGGTGTGGTTCTTGTTGTTGTTTGAGGGGGAGGGGCGCAAGAATATTTGCAGAGATTTTACTAATGAAGCATAATAAATCTTGAGACTCCAAGATACATGAAACTTTGGGTAAACTCAGATCTCTGAATCACGGTGACTCAGCCGGTGCTAAAGATGGCGTCTGAGCTATGGAGACAGGCCTGCCACAGAGAAGACACCGTGAGGGGCAGCTCCTCCGCTCTTCCAGGCTGAGGTCTGCCTCTGTGGAGCCCTCTGGCTTAGCGGGAGCCGTAGCAGAGGTGTGGCAGTTACCATGAGCCACCAAATGTCCTTCTGGGACTCTCCCTACTGAGCCATACACAGTTTCTGTGTGCAACAAGTTGCTATGAACCTGGCTTTATCAAAAACACAGCTGTTGCATGGACACTCATTTGTACAACAACTTACAGATTTTGTTTTAGCTCACAATCAGGCGCTGATGGCTCATACCTGTCCTCCTAGCTACTCAGGAGCTGAGGATCATGTTTCGGAGCCATCCCAGGCAGACAGATCCGTGACTCTTATGTCCAATTGGCTAGAAAAAGCCTTGAACTAGAGGTATGGCTCAAAGGGTAGAGTGCCATCCTTGAACAAGCCAAGCAAGAGTATAAAACTCTTGAGTTCAAGCCCCAGTGCCAGCACAAAAACAACCACAATTTACACCCTTAGGAGCTTGCTAGGTGGACATGTGGGCTTGATTGTTTCAGAGTTGCTTCCAGAGCGGTGGGTCACAGCTCCCCAGTGTGGCAGAGTGAAGAGTGGGGAATGACAAAGCCCGCAGACTCACTCACTACCTAAAAGAGCAGCCACGGCGGTTTGGGGATTTTGGAGCAGAGAGCCCTGTGTTTCTCAGTCCCCCCCACCCCCCCCCCCCCGCCCCTCTTTCTGGAACACATGAAAGTCAGGCTTGGAAAAATGGCATTTTGCTGTGTGTTGGCAAGAAATCCTGCAGCTGAAACACTTCTCGGCAAATGTCGAGCATCTTTATTTATCCCAGTCTCTCCACAGTGTTTGTTTAAAGGGGAGTACCAGAGAGTAAACGCAGTCTTACAATGAGCATATGGGTGGTTATAATTGCTGAGGTTTGTTTTTTTTCCCTTCATATTTGCTAACTAGCTATATATAAAATGGTGTTTCTATTTTATAGATTTCACACCCCAAAGGCTGCTAATTTTTGCCTGCATATGATTTTCACATGAATGGATGAAAATACGAAAATACTCTGCCTTCTAGAATTGTCTAATTGCCCCGCACCCCTGCTCTGAGCAGCAACTAATGGATAGAGGCAGGAGAGATTCCTGCCATTCTCTTTGGCTTCCAACTTCCCTGGACACCCCACTGGCACCCAGCCACTCAGGAATTGGCCCACTGGCCTTCTAAAGCCATCCATGCTGGAACTAGTAACCAGAAGAGCACTAACTGCTCCCCAGTGCTCACGCCTATCAATCCATTTTGGCCAAGCCTCTCTTTGAGAATTTTAAATAATAGAAGCGACATCTGCCTCTGAATTAGCTGGAAATGGGAAACCCAAATTTCCAAAGAAGCTTGTAATGAATCGCTAAACAAATGCTCTGGTTTAGTCATTGGTTTCAACTTCCTATCCCATTTCTTATCCCACACCTCTGTCTCTCCCTCCTTCCCTCCTTCCCTCTCTCCCTTCCTCTCTTTCCCCCTGCTTTCCCTTTTCCCTCTCCCTTTCCTGAAGTGGGTTAGGTAGAATTAAGACCCAAGGACAGAGACAGCTTCCCAGGTCACAGAGGAAGGCAGTGGTACTGTGGAGATTTCTCAGTCACCTGGGCCACACCCTATGTCTGGGATATTTTTCTGCCCCCATGCCCTCAGGGTTTCACAGTTCTTAGGTTATTTTGGGGCGGGGAGAGGGGGGCGCCAGTGTACCAGTACTGAGGCTTGAACTCTCAGGGCCTGGGTTCTGTGTCTCAGCTGGCATTCCTACTTGCATCTTCCTGCTTTCTGGTGGTTAATTGGAGATCAGAGTTTCACAGTCTCTCCTAACTAGGCTGGCTTCGAACCATAATCCTCAGATCACAGCCTCCCGAGTAGCTAGGATTACAGATGTGAGCCACTAGTACCTGGTTCCTTCAACTTGTTGATCCTGTCCTTTTCCTTGCTGCACAGATATGTCTGATGAGCTGTGCAGAGTCTGGCTGGGTGTGTTGGGACCCACAGAGATAGGAAATCACTGTGGCTGTCTGCGGGGTGCTTGAGGAAGCTGAGACATGTGGAGGCTCTGTAGGATGTAGACTGCTGCTGAGCCTGAGAGCCCTAGTCAGAAAGCAGAGGAGGCTCCACAGCCTGCCTCCCGCTGGGGAGCTGGAGGAGGCACCAATGGCGTGGTAGGGGGTGGGAGCCAGAACCCTAGCGCCTGCTCCAATTGGTCTCTCAGCCTTCCTACTGAAGTAGGAGTGGCGACTGTCACCTGCAGCCACCTGCAAAAGGACCGGGACTCTGGAATCAGATCCAGGTCTTGTCCCAGATCTGTGTCAGCTTGGTTGGCCTTGATGGGTGACCGAGCCTCTCGGAGTCCCACTTAGGAACTGCATTTTGTTGGGCAGATGAAGGAGTTGGTGCATCTAAAGTGTCCAGCGATCTCACATTGAGAAGAGGCACAGGTTCCTAGCCTGTAACTCTTATTAATGAAGCAGAAACACCGTAGGCTGGCTGGCGGCACAGGGAGCAACTCTAAGACCTACTCCAGAGATGGGAGCACTCAACGGGAGGAACACAATATGTCAGATGTGGATGGGGGCCAGGAAGGAAAAGACAGAAGGGGAAGGGATAATGTATGTACGTATAAGGGTATACAGTAGAAGATGGTAGAACCTGAGCCATGGAGGCAGGAAGAGAGTGAGCCAGGAGAGCATCCATGGACTGCCACTCCAGGCAGAGTACACAGCAGTGCAAATGCCCTGGGGTAGAAATGGGCTCAGGATTGGGCAAGGCTGTAGCGGTGGTGGAGGGGGGGGGAGTTTATGAAGACAGAGAAATGTCAAGAGGCTAGATCATATGGGGCCTTGCTGGCCATGACCCCGGGCTTGGCTCCTACTCTGATGGGAAGCTGCTGGAGGGCTCTGAGCAGAGTGAGAGTGATAGACTGACTATGACTGGCTATTTTTAGCCACCAGTTTCTTCCAGACACCTGTGCCCAGGGAGGACTATGTCTAGCACTCAGAGGTCGGTTGTCCTTCATACTGGCCTGAAGGTTGTTCCTGAGTCATCTGAGGGAGGGATGCCAGACCCTCATCCTAGCAGATCGAGCTAGAGGGCCTTGTGCACGGTTCAGACCCCCTTCACCAACATTGCCCTTGGTCCCTTGCAGAGTTCCAGCTTCCTGTGACTGAACCTGACATCAACAATCGGCTGGAGTCCTTGTGTCTCAGTATGACCGAGCATGCCCTGGGAGGTGAGTGTGTCCCCTGTATGTCCCCAGGACAGTGACGGCCATCTGCTGCTGCATTCTGGCAGCAGCTCAGGGGAACAGGAAAGGGACAAGGAGAGGTTGGCAGGGGTGCTGGGGGGCTTCAATGGGAGGCAAGTCCCAGACCTGGAGACCAGAGACACAATGAGGATCGCATGCAGCACACCAGAACCCACCACAACCATTGTTGCAGCTACACACAGGGACTGGAAGTGCCGGGCACACAGGATGGAGCTTTTTTAGTGGAAATGTCTCCCATTGCCCTGGCTGCTTTCCTTCCCAGGGCTGGATCCCCAGGGCTGGGCCAAGCATAGCCCAACATACTCTAAAAATAGCGTTTTTGAAACAAAGATCCCTGCTTGTTTTCCTGTCTCCCTGTTGCAAATGACTTGCGTGATGCCTGCAGGCCCACACAGTCTGAACTGTCCTTCACTGAATGAAGGGACAGGAACAGGTTCCATGTGCCCTGCATGCAGCAGAGCCAGGAACGTGGGCTGCGGAGTGCACCTAGGAGGTACCCCCCAAAGTAGCTATGTCCCCAATTATCTTCACCACAGACAGCCAGTGAGGCGACTTGGGTCATAGGCCAAGAACTGAGCCACCCACTTAGGGCCCCGTTGTGCACCTGCTGGCAGCAGTAGGCAGGAAGGCTTCTGTGAGCTACCCCTGCCAAGAGCTTTGTCTATACCTGAGGTTTGAGATGTTGAATCCCTGTAGACTAAAGATGGCGTTCAAACGCCATCTTACCCTGAAACCAAGTAGGAAATAGATAAATTCTATACGTGATGCACAGTAAGAAGTCCGGAACTTCATCCACCTGACCTCAGTGTACGTGATGCACAGTAAGAAGTCCGGAACTTCATCCACCTGACCTCAGTGTACGTGATGCACAGTAAGAAGTCCGGAACTTCATCCACCTGACCTCAGTGTAGGGGTCGGGGAGCTGATGGCCTCCATCTGCCATGGTGACTGCGCAGGGTTTCAGACCAAACAGTGAAAAGATCTAGCTCCTCTTGGGACTTGCCCCAGAGTTCTGGGGAATCCTGTTTGCAAACCACTGCTCGCTCCCTGACTATGCTGATCCTAGACATTTTACTGCATCCTTGGACCATCCCTGCTACCTCTGGCAGGAGGAAGCACTAGCTGCTCTTCTCCATCTTATTAAGATGGTGTCAGCAGTGTGGTGCCAGTGGCTCGCTCCTGTAATCCTAACTACTTAGGAGGCTAGATGTGAAGATTGTGATTTGAAACCAGCCTGTGCAGGAAAGTCCATGAGACACTTAATTTCCAGTGAACCACCAAAAAGCTGAAAGTGGAGCTGTGGCTCAAGTTGGTTGAGCACCAGCCTTGACTGAACAGTACTCAGACCCTGAGTTCAAGCTTGTTCAGTACTGGCATAAAAAAGATTAAGTCAGCAGCCCCCTAAGGAAGAATGACAGCCAGGCATCTGATATATCTGTATTTGGGTCAGCAACATGAGGTATATAGCAGTAGCACGAATAAGGAGGAAGTATTGGTACATGCTACTGTAAGGATGGGCCTTGAAAACATCCGCCAAGAGAACAAGGCAGGTATAAATACCATAGCCTATGATTCCTCTGATAGCAAATTTCCAGCCCTGGGCTCTTTGGCTCACCACGGGGTGAGAAGCCTCAGCTCCATGTTTGACTCCCCAGGGCCTGATAGATAATTGGCATGTGGACACTCTTATCCAACTGCTAAGTACACTATTATCATTAGTAACAAAGAATGCCAGATGTTCTTTATTAAAGGGAGATTGCATTGAAATGACTTCATTTTCTAGCCCATTTTTCTATTTTTACAGAATACCTCTCTGAACTGATGGTTTGTTGTTTTTTTGTTTTGCTCCATTTTTGTTGTTGTTGTTGTCATCTTATTCATCTCCTAAAACTTCTTACTGATTTTTGTTGTTGTTGTGTTTGTTGGTCATGGGGCTTAAACTCAGGGCCTGGGCATTGTCTCTGAGCTCTTTTTTGCTCAAGACTAGCTAACACTCTACCACTTTGAGAGACAGATCCACTCAAGTTTTCTGATGGTTAATTGGAGGTAAGAGTTAGCTTTGAAGCTCGATCCTTAGATCTCAGCCTCCTGAGTAACTAGACTTGTAGGTGTGAGCCATCAGGGCCCAGCTCTTTTATTGCTTTTTTTTTTAACCTGGGTAGAGAATGCAAATTAAATTCAGGGTAGGTAGCATAGGTAGGCACAGTGGCAGTATGCCCTCCCACAATGACTACCTATCTCTAAGCCAAATCCCTTCTAGGTGCCAGGAAGTTGATCTTGCTGGGGACCAAATGCAAATGAATTGTCATTTTACAGGAACACAAATAAGTAGGGGAAAGGAAAATGCATGCACCTCAGCAAGATGGTATCAAGTTCCTGGGACACCCCATCCTAATGACCAGCCCAGGTGCTTGGTATCTGCCATGTTGGTTTGTGAGTCATTATTTAGGCTTTCATCCAGCTCTGTGGGATTTTTTCCTCCTAATGCACAGCCCAAGGCATTCTGGGAAGACAGCACCAGTCATGGCCGCTGCCTTCTGCAGACAGGCTCCATGTGCAGCTATACCTCTGACTACAGAAATGAGGCTGTAGAGAAGAGGACATAGTCCATTCTCTGATTTCTTGTATATGCACTTCATCTTACTCTTCCTTCTCACCTTCTCTACTTCCCCTTCCATGGGACTTACCAACTCACTGTAGCCAAGATGGAGATTGTACAAATGGTGTGTATTGGAAGTTTGCCCAAAGGACCATATAATGTATGATGGCTGCATGTAAATGGTATCCCTTGAAAGCTGTCAGTGCACTACTATAAATAGCTGCTCTGGACTGACTGGCCCTGTCCTGTAGATGAACACAGTCACCCTGCAGAGATGCATCATAGGGTTGGAATTCAGGGGAAAATGCAGCTTGAGTTGGTTTAGGTGAGATTTCCATGTTTCCAGCTTTCCAAACCTGTGAAGGTTTGGCATTCATGAATATTCCAGGAGCCCAGCCAGAATACACTGCAGTATCCTAATGCAGGTGGGTGTGCATACACACACACACACACCTATTCTCTCAAAGCCAGTTATCACACATAGACGGCACACAGAAGATGAGGAGTTGTTGAGATGTTTCTTGATTTCCAAGGACATTAGACATCCTACATGTTCCTGCTGTCTTGGACCATAGTCCTTTATAGAAATTATCACTCCTCTTGTCTGCATCCTGCCTAGAAGGTAAGCACTTGGGAGGAAGGATTATTAGGTCTTTTCATCTTAGAGCCCAGACTCAATATGGCTCCTAGGGGGAAAAATGGCTACTCCTAGTGGTTGAATGAATGAGTAAAGCATTAATCTATCTCAAGAGGCTGAGAGGCCCAAGGTACTGGTGTTAGTAGGCTGACCTGGAACTGTCACCCATGTCCCTTGTGTGCTTCTTTCTTTTCTAGACGGGGTTGACCGAACCTCCACAATCTAAAAGCTGAAGATGAGAGTGACCGCGCTGGCCGTGAAATCGACTGCTGCGGGCCCAGTGTCAGACATCTTCAGGGTTGCATAGAATCCTCCAAGATACTTTGCAGTCTTTTCCCCCTGGTCCCTCGCCCATTTTGATTTTGTGAGAGCGTAGGTCATCCTTGTAAACATATCAGTAGACCTGGGATTGGTGATGTTGTCATTTGTCTCTGTCATGGGATGGTTTGATGTGCAGGGAGGGGAGGGGGAGTCTAAGGAAATATGGGACTGGGAGGGAAGGGAGTTGAGGGATGCAAGTGACTTCCTGGAAAGAGGGAGGAGGATAATCCTGCCGTGAAAGAGGTACAAGAGAGACACAGGAGAGAGGCAAGTGCTCAAGCACTGGGGAGCCTTTTCAGACAGCCCGAGTTCTCTGTCAGACCACAGATGATGGATACATGCGACCAAAGCAATATGGCGGCTCACCTTTCGAATGTCTCCCCTGATGGAATTTCCCAGAGGCCCCTGCTTTGAAAGCTGCAGGAGAGGGCCACATGACAACAGGAGCAAGAAGGAAGAAATTCCCTCCAGCAAAATTTCAGATAAACTTTTGATTTGTGTATTGTTTACATAAGAACTTTAAAAGGGTACATACTATGTAAAGAATTTGGGTAGAACTTCTCTTCCTATGGTTTTTGTAAAGGGTTTATTGTTGTTAGGGATTCATTTTTTCTCTATTTTTATAATAGCAGCAGGGTTGTCTTTTCAAACAGCTGCCAAGCAAACGCTGCTTCTTGGGAAGATGGATGCAGTCATGTAGGTCTGAGTTGTTGTCTTTCACCTTTAGGTGGAGGAGCACGTGGGTAGAGGTGAAGGATGAGGATGAGGTAGCACGAATGGACGTAGCACTAGGCAAGCACACAAGGATGACAGCACCATGTGATCAGTGATGGATTTGCTCACAGATCACCCAGTGATTCCAGACGAAGCTTGTAGCCTCTTTCTGAGCTGGATTTGCTTCTCATCCAAAGACCAATCTTCTTTCCCCCTGACCCAGGGGTTTCATCCCCACCCTCCTGGTCTTTCTCTACAATCACCAGGTGGGTACAGGTTCTAATGGAGGAAGAAAATTAAGAATGGATGGTTTTTCTTTGCAAAGGGGTCTTAACCCCAGATAACAAGCTCCAAACATGTATAGTGGGGTGGTTCACAAGAACCTGAGATTTTTGGAGTCCAACACCTACTCAGTCCCTGCTGAGAAGGGCAGAAAGGCCCAGGAACCTTGTATCATGGATCGGTCAGTAAGTGTCAGAGAGCATGTGGAGTGGGTGAAAGTAGAAGGATAGTTAATGTCATGATAGAAACATTGGCCCTACGCAATACATCATAAGTCAGCAATTACTCTATTGTTGGCTAATTTCTCTCCCCATACAGAAGGGAGGAAAAAAAAAAAACACTCATTACACAGCGAGAGATTAACAAACTATGGAACCATAGCGTAATAGCTCTATTTCTTAAGGGCAAGAAAGACAGTGTTTTAGGAATTTGATGCAATGGAGGGTATTAGAGGAAATCAGAAAGAAATTGTGCTGTGCACTGGAAAATTGGGTTGTGTAAATGATGGTATAAATGTCAGCCAGAGGCGAGCTCAGGCTTGTTTATCAAATGGGTAAGATTGGTCCCCTTTTTCTCCAAAGTAAAGTTAGAGTTAAAATTAAAGAGATCAGACCATGAAAATGACTGCTCGCTTATGGTAGGTTTTTTTTTTTAAGTTAATGAAGAACACACGGATTTAAAGGTCCTTAATAAAAATCCAAATGATTTTCTTTTACCTTTAAGATTAAAAATATAGCCGGGCGATGGTGGCTCACGCCTGTAATCTCAGGAGGCTGAGATCTGAGAATCGCGGTTCAAAGCCAGCCCGGGCAGTAGAGACCATGAGACTCCTATCTCCAATAAACCACCAGAAAACCGGAAGTGGTGCTGTAGCTCAAGTGGTAGAGCGCTCGCCTTGAGCTGAAGAGCTGAGGGACAGCGCCCAGGCCCAGAGTTCAAGCCCCACGACCGACAAAAAAAAAAAAAAAGATTAAAAATATACATGGCGCAACAGCCTTGGATGTTGCAGTAAAGTTGTCAAAGTCTTTTTGCAGTCCAAAACATTGAAGGTACCTTAAGTAGATAGAGCCTTTCCTGAGCACTGAAAGCTTGAATCTACCATTTTATTAAGTACATTGAAAACGAAGGGAGGAAGAAAAAGGTTCAGACCTCTCTTGACTCCATCCTGAAGATGCAAATCCATATTCAGAAAGAGGCAGCCATTTTTCAGTTGAGTCTTAAACTAAGTGCCATTAACATCCATCTTCCATGTCCTTTTTGTAAACAAGCTTGTGTAGAGGAATGTGCTGGGCTGGGTGGTTGCAGGTGTAAGGCAGGAAGAATAGATCACAATGTTGATTGGCCAAAAGTGAGGCCTGAGGGATTGAGGATGTGTATGGAGGGATGTGGAGAGAGTTAATTGAGAGGAAAGCAATAGTATTACATGGCTCAGAGAGAGAGAGAGGGGAACGCATTGGGTTCTGCTGCAGAACATACATCCATAGAGACTTGAGTTATTCAGAAAACAGATTGTGAACACAATCACGTTAGCATGAATCCTTTAAAAGGAAGAAAACCTTAAAATATTTGTGAATCTGAATTTCTATTCCTTCACTGAACATAGAAACAATGGTTATCCAATTATTACAGATATTATTTTGGATATGTTACTTATTGCTATGGCTGGTAACCATGATAAAGTCTGATATTAATAACAACATAATTCTTTTTTTAAAAACAAAAAAGAAAAGCTTATTTTTCATGAACTGTGTAGAGATTTGTCTACTTAGTTGTTTTGCTAGATTAGTATGTTCATTTTTGTTGTTGTTGTTTTTTAGATTGGGTGTCCTGATGAATTTCTAGGAGCCTGTCCTTACATTGTTGAGTCCTGTGTTGACTGCAGGCAATACAGCTCAATTTAAAAAAAAAATCCTAAAGCAAAAGAATTTTATTTATAAAAGAAACAGTTGCATGCGTCAGGCTGTGGAGTCGAATATTTAGTAATTCAGCGGCAGTGCCTTTTTTTGTATTTATCCATTGACCTCCCCTCCCCCACCAAAATGCAACTGTTTTATATTAAGTAACTAGTCAACAATTTAAAAAAAAAGCTCAGAGTAAAATATATTTCACTACGTGAGTCTCCCACCCCCCACCCCCATCCCCACCCCCCCCTCCCCCTCCCGCCCCGCAACACACATACTTTGTTCTGATTTAAGCAATGTGTACTTGACATCTCTGCACTGTCCCAGGGACAGTGGTCTTAAGATCTTCTTTTCATGTATGATGTTTTATTGGTGCTTTTTATTCATAGTGGTTTCTCACGAGAAACAGTAGGAAGAAACACACGAACTGTGTACAAGACAGGAAATATTGCTGCTCGTATGTGTTTTTTTTTTTCCACATGCTTTTGAATTTAATTTTTTTTTTCCAACAAGAGCCAGCAAGCGAAATAGACACTGCTGGATCTGCGTGCCGAGGGCTGCTGCTTGCCTAATTCTCAGATCCTGGGTATCAGGGGTTCCTTTTTGGAGCCTACAGCTGGGCTCCATCTCCCATTCATCGGAAGCAACACTGAGGGAAACCACGTTTTCTTTTGAGGTGTTGCTGGCTGCCTCTGACAGAATGTGGGAGCCTTCTCCAGGTCTTTTGTTTTTCTGCACTTCTCTAGCTACTGCAGCCAGGAGGTTTGTCAATGTGTAACCCCCAGAGGCTGCTCTGAGGGCTGAGCTGGGCTCCATGCATGGGCCTGCCTCCAGACAGGCAGAGAGAGGAGGAATCTGTAGGCCCCATGGGGGTGGCCCCTCTGCTGCTGCCAGGGTACAGAGAAGCCATCTCACCCAGGTACTTGGGTGTGCTTGTTACAAGCAGAAGCTGCAGAAAAATCATTTGCACATGGAGCTACGATAACACTAATTTCTTCTTTTTCTTTTTTTATAAGTCATCAGAGATGTTTGCAAAGTGAGTTTTATTTTTTTTTTTTGTAATTCCTTTATCTTTACTTAAAGGTGAATGTGTATTCCTCTGGGAGGAATCGGAAGAAAACAGGAATGTTAATAATGTCAAACAGAAGACTTCCTCCCTTATTAATATATAACCCTCCATGTATTTATGCCTAATGTAAGCTGACTTTTAAAAAGCTTTTCTTTTGTTGCATGCTTCGTGCAGGCATCCGTATTGTACATGCATGCATGCCTTTTGTCCTGTTTTCCTGTATAAAGTTAGTGACGAGAAATATTTTTGCCTAGTTCATGTTGCCAAGCAATGCATATTTTTTAAATTTGTCATATATGGAAAGAGCATGTTTGTTACATGTAAAAGCTTTACTGATATACAGATATACTAATGTTTGAAGATGCCATTCTTTGCAAGTGTACAGTTTTCAAATGTTGTTACCAGTGAAACACCCTTGTGGTTAAACTTGCTACAATGTATTTATTACTCATTTCCTCCCATGCAACTAAGAATCATGGCTATATTTCATATCAACATTATATTGAAAGTGAAGGGAAATGATTAATACAAGGTTTTGTAACACTGGTGTGTGTCTTTTTTTTTTTGGTCAATATGATTGATTACAAGTACAGAGACTTAAAAACAAGCCAGCAAGGAAGAAAGACCATGAATTCCCACCAGCTGGTCTCACCTGACCATTCTGTGAAAACTGTCTTTTCAGCGATTAGCTGCAGGATGGGGAAAGGTGTATAGAAATGTGTGTGCGGTTTGACACCAAGAATAGCCAATGTTCCCTGAGTTAGGGTTGTGGCTGAGCCAAGTGTCAGTGGCTCTTACCTGTAATCCTAGCTATTCAGGAGACTATGAGAGGATCACAGTTCAAAGCCTGCCTGGCAAGAAAGTTCATGAGACTCATCTCCAATTAACCAACAGAAAACCGGAAAAAGAGTTTGTGACACAAAGTGGTAGAGCAGTAGCCTTGAGCAAAAGAGCTCAGGGACAGTGCCCAGGCCTGAATTCAAGCCCTACTAGCAACCAAAAATAAATAAGAATGCTGACCTCACAGATATTACTGGTAGCTGCTTCTCTTTGAAATATTTCACACTTAAATTTTGGTATAAATAAGAAACAGCCTGCTCAGAACCTTGGAGTTTTGCC